TAAACTTACTCATTTGATTTCGCTGAGATGTGCGTTATTGTGGAATTTTCAAATTCTATGATAAGGATGAAATGATTTCCAGCAATTCCGATAATCATACCTATTCACAGTAGAGTCTCAGAACAGAAAACGCCTTTCATTACGTTTTTTCTCAAGCAACTTTTTAAGGAACTGTGATATATGGAGACAGAAGAAAATTAATCTTCCGTTTGCTGGAATATATAATTTTATGTTCAAATTTAAATTCATCAATGGTCGTGACTTAATGCAATGCATGCATAGGTATTTATGTGCATGAATGGCCTTGTCAATTTCATATCACTGCTTTCATTATTTTCTTTTTTTTATAATTCCCTCAATGAAATATAACGATTAACGTAATATTTATCATTTCCGTTTGCAGTTTCTTTTCGCTAAAAATTCGATCATCATAACTGATTTTGCTAACCATAACTATAGAAAAAATATTGTTGTAAATTTTTTATAACTACGTTTGTATAAATTTATTAATTTAAATTTCCTACATTCCACCCTTATAACCAGCGGATCCAGCGCAATCAGTAATGATGCGAACTATTAGAATAAGAAGAATCCGCTCTTCAGTACCAGGAAAATAAAATTGTTTTGTCGCAAATTGTTGAAAAAGGTTCATTTCTTGAAGAATGAACATGAAAGCTTGGAACTAATTAATTTCTACTGGAATGCCAATTAAATGAATGGAAGTCAAGCTTAGAAAAATAGAGATTAAGTTGCTTAGCAACCAGTCTACCTTTAGTTTTCGACATTAATTCAATAATTCATCCAGAACTCCAGAAAAAGGGCTTTATAGTATTATCTCTATTTATGTCTAGTTGTATCTAGAAGTCTCTAGTTTAAAAAAACATAATTAAACTCAGTAATGTCCTTAATAAGTGTTAGGAAAATGTTTTTATAGCAAGCGGACATACATATATAGCAAGCAAACCATCCATGGAATTGTTAAATGCACCTATCAAATTTTAAATATTTGTTTTGAATACATATATACATATATACATTCATTTAAAAAATCCCTCCTGCGGCGGATCATCCTCAACCTCGGTAGCTATTCCTAGCCTTTCGCTTTTCTAGATCTTTGATGTTGAACAGAGATCTTTGCTATTGAGATCTTTTCTGGAATCTGTTGTAGCCATTTTTTTAGTTCAGAGGTCAACAGCTCCCAGTGCTCCTATTACCACTGAGATTAATTTGGCTTTCATTTTCTACATCTTCCGTTCCTCTTTCAGCCTTTGGTATTTCTCTAGCTTCTCATATATATATATATATATATATATATATGCAACATAAGAATAGATACTAAGCACCAGATCCATTGAAGGGATTCACCACATCGGGCCAGACTCAAGATGCAGATTGTGCACTCAGAAACCTTCCAACACAGTGGCAGGATACAAGATGCTTCTTTGTTTATAATATCCTTTTTTTTGATAATTTTGATCCTTTTTCAATTATTCGAAACAAAATGCACATAAAAATGAGTAAAAGTGCGTTGAAAAATCTCGACTGCCAATTTTTTCTTATGGGCTTTGCATGAATAACAAATATAAATGTGAATTGTCTGATAAAATTTTGCATACACAATGATTTTGTTCGATGTCAAAGAATTTTCATGCTATAGTATTGACAGTTTCCTCGACAATATTTCACGCAAACTTTGTATTAAATTTCTAATCAATGGGGATGACGCTGGCGACTCACCTGCACCTGCACTTCTATCGCCAAGGGACTCCCTGGCATATTTGTCCAATGCGACAAGGTAGCGGAGTGAATTCAACCAGTAATGGTGACGACTCTTAAAAAAAAATAAGCGAGGATAGTCGCGTGGTATGATTGCTTGATCTTTGTGGACGTTCGATTCTCTGATCTCAATAGAAATAAATCTGCCATTGAAAAATCCGGATGACGCTAGGAAACTATCCATCTGTATTTCCATGACCAAGTGAGTCCCTGGCAAAAATAAGCCAGCAGAATCAACCTAACGAGAAATGGTATTCACCGCCTATTTTTTATTTAATTAATGTCATATAGAAACGAAATTAATTATCATGCAATAATTGACTTTAAAAAGGCTTGCAATTTTTTAATTACAGGCAATAATTCTTCTTCTTCTGACATTCATCATTTCTGATAGTCATACGACTTCTAGGACAGGAATCTTTTTCTTTGGAGTCTTCGAGCTAAAAGCAGAATTGCATCGCGAGCGCCACCTGGATTTCAAAGCAGGACAAGAATTTTATTTTGTTGGTTGGGACAAACGGAAATTATTTGTGGAATTGAATTAACCCACCGTTTTTTTGCTACTTTATTATCAATCTTAACCTTTTGTGTATCTTGCTTAGCATTTTCGAGATGTAACAATTTATCATTTTCACGAATTTATGCCATTTAACAAATTACTTCGCAAATTTAAAAAAATTTTCTTTTATTGATTTCGGACAGATAGGGCTTAATGGTAGATATTTCCGCTTCTGCCATCTCGAGGCTAATTTGTCCTTGTATATATGAAATCATTTGCTTAATTTGGGCTTTGCTGAGAAAGCTCAACGTCACATTCATTTATCGCTGTATTCAAGTTATCAATTTTAGCTGCTATAAGGATTTTCTTAGGAAAAACTTTTATTCATCGCCCTATGTTCAAAGTTCAATTTTTAAGTGCATTCCATATTCATAAACTTGAGTATTCTATATAGAAACCGAGTAATTGCTCAAATTATCGTCTTGAGCGTTCCGATTCGAGCCATGCCTCCAACAGGAGTGTACCTTTCATCAGAAAATCCTGGTGCTGCTGGCGAGTGTGCCTTTTAACTTCCACCTTTTTATATTGCCAAGTGGCTGGCTTTATGGCCAAGAATTTCTCATCGCTATTTGAGCAAGAAAATCCAAAAACAATAAGCACTTATGCAATATTTTATCATATTTTAAATATCCAACAGGTGGAACATAACCTATTCAATACATTTTTCAATGAATATTCATCAATGAATATTCATATTTCGCTTGCATTCGCGTAATTTCATTAAGCGAAGCCAGTCGCTTTTATGGATTAATGTAGTTTAATCATCAAAAAAATGTTAAAATACAGTCAGTGAAATGAATCGTCATTCCCTCGCTGAATTTCTCCTTGAATTTTTAAATTATTTTTGGGGTCAGTTGCAGCCGAGCGACAAAATTTATGCAGAAACCAAATATGCCATTTGCTTAAAAATATTGCCGTGTATATTTATTACTTGTTATTACTTACTGCATTTCAAGCTGATTTCGAATAACCACCGACTTTTTTTCTGTATGTGGTATTTTTTCTGTATTAAGGGCACGCACATAATAGTATTGGTTTATACTGGCTATTTCACTTACTGGGGTAACTGGTTACTGATAACTTGTCATCGGAAGGTGTTATGGCGTTGTTCATTTTTTATATTACGGTGCGTTTCAAAAAATATTGCAACTTTTTTCTATTCCTATCGCTAATTAGGATTTAAGAAACTTTTTGAAAGAAGAAAAAATAAAAAATATATTTTTCTAATTTTTTATTTTTTTTCTAAATCATTTAACGATCATATATCCTTGCAATATTTCATTTATAGTTGAGCTAAATAATCGCTATTAAATTTGTGTTTCGATTTTTGAATTCATTTTTTTAGGTGAACTTCATGATGAATACTGGGGGGAAAATCAGAGGCTATGAAGATAAGAATTTGAGCAAAGGTTTGATAACCACTAAACTAAAAGGATTAAAAACAGAAAAATCTGGGAAAAAGTTCTCTACTCAAGATGGGTAAAATTTTAAAAAAATAAATTGGAAGAACTGAGCTTAAATCACAACATCAATCTTGTATTATGCATTTCTTAATATTTTTAGTGCATAAAATTTATGTAAATCGTATAGATTTTCATGGTTCAACGTTTTTGATGGGCGCTAGCAACTGTTTGCATAAATATTTAAAATATCGTAAACCGGTAGAGAACCATCAGTATGCTTTCTTCGTTTTGTAACCAGTAATTCTGCAACCAACATTGAAAATAGTCTATCGATCCGTTATTTGTTGCATAATCTCGATGAAAATATCGTGTCAGTTTGATCGTAACATTTTCCTTTGTGACATTTTCGTTAAAATATCCTTTAATTAAAAAATTGGTGAGGATCGCACCAATTAGATAGATCACTAAGACAGTGCGATAATTATGGTTACAGTTGTGATTAACTAAATTTAGGTGAACATATTAGTTGCCTAGGATGTAAAAAATATTTATATTTGGTAGAATCAACGGTTCTCTAAAATATTGTCAGGAGAATCCTATTGGAATTTAGATGAATTTTAGATTACCTTTTTCCCAAATCATTCACCATTTTTAATTTGTCGCACTCTACTAAATGCTAGTATGAAATATATTCTCAAGAGTCACTTGGCGATAGAAGTGAAGCTGGGTCTCCAGCACCGAAGCGATCTAGCGACAGGAATGGAACTCACAAAGATTGATCTCAAAGTCATTCAACCATGCTCTCTCCAGGGACATTTTACATAAATTTAAGCGGTAAAGTGAGAGAAATATTTATAATTCAAATACTGGTAATTAATTTGGTCATCGAAAGGTATCATATAGGTAGTCAGTGGAGTCAGTCAAATGAAAAATGACGATGCTGCTAGAAAACAAAAAAGAGTGAAACAAAAACTGCTGAAAATAAAAGATCATATCAGAGAAATTTTTGCTCTTCACTGCAATACAATGAATTTTTCATGTATTGTAATAAATTATCAGTCGCGAACGCGTTATATTTTGCAAACCAGCATTTACGGTACATTACATTTACGGTACATGATCGCGTTATTTCCGCTCGTTAGTTTTTTTCTTTTTTCCTACCCTTAGCGAACCACTATTATCGATTGTATACGTTATCAGTTCTTATACCGCGTTTTTGATCAATAGCTTAAATTTCACAGTTGCAGTTTGGTTGGTTCGTAATGCCTTTAGGACCGAATGATTCGGCTCTAAAGCGTGGTTGGTCACGTATATCTCGAAGACGGAAGAAACGCAGTAAAGAAGATCTTACTTCACAGGTTCAAGTCGAAGACCCTGAACTAGTCCACGATTCTCATTCACGTAATATTCTTTCGAACGATGAAAAGAAAGGGTACGTCTATTTCTTAATCCTTGAAGAAATTTTGCTTGATTGCCTAAATCCTTTTCAAGTTATCGGTGACGAACAGCGCAGACATAAACCTACTTAAAGCTATTATCACTAATGCATAATGCAAGAGGCAAGTAAGTAAGTGGTTAAGATTTGCGAATTAAAGTTTACGGGTTACGTATAAATGAGGGCGCCGATCGACAACTCATTTTATTCGACTATTATAAAATTAAATGATATTGAGACGAAAATTCGAATAAGAATTTTTCTTGTTACTTTTTTTTACATTTTTTGAGGTTAAGTATATATATTTATTAAGTCAAAAACAGACTGGTTCAGTAATTTTCTTTGTAGAAACAAAAAAATGCATTTAACATCAAATATGATTTTAATCGGAAAGTTTTTGTTGCATTTGAAAAGTTTTTCATAAATGTTTTTGACTCGTCTAAAAAAAGCCAGTTTTCTCAAATTTTTAAAGCCATTTTCGTTATTTCTCTTTCTCTTCTAGTAACAGCACTTACCGTTTCTGGTTTGACTGGCTGCCTTCATCATTAGGATGAGACTTCTTCGTTAGACACTCTCTTGAATATAAAGACAGGTCGCTCATCAACACTACTTTTTAATAATAGGCTTGCTCTCGTCCATAAGCAGAACTCATGATAAGTCGAAATCGAAGCAATATTTCATTTAATCCTCTATTTCATTTTTCATTTTTATCGATCTCGTTTGTTTTCCAGTTTTGTTGGATTTTTTCAATGTTAACTCATTACATTTCAATTTATTTTATTATGCAATATTTTTATGATTTATTTAATTAATTTCTATCTTTGCCTTTGGCAAAAAAATTTCTACTTGAATGTTGATTCAAATTTTGTGTTTTGTTTCTCGATTCGATTCTACCGTATCGTCATTCTGTACTTTGTTTTTCAGTGAAATTCATTATATCCTATTTCCACAACTTTATTTTATTCTACATTTTGCATTCTGAAGTGAAATTTTTTAAAAAAATTTTTTAAAATTCTCACTTTGATTTATATGATCGAATCTTCTCAATAAACAAGTTTCTCGAAATTATTAAGTCTTGCAGCAGTCTTTTGCAAGTTGCTGATGTTCTAGAGGACCACCATGGAGGGAAATACCGGATAAACGGTTCTAGCATTTTTGCTCATGCGATTCTCCAGGAATTATGCTGCTTTCTTCATTTATCTAATTTGTCAAGTTTCAGTTTCATTTTCTTCATTTATCTATAAATGTCATAAAAATTTCATGAACGTAAAGAGCCAATATAGAAAAAAAACATTGAAATGCAAATGTTCACTAAGCAGATAAGCTTCCTTAGAGTAAAATGCCAAAGGGAATTGAAAGTTATCAATCACTTCATTCGAGTTCATTTATTGGAAAAATTTTTATCTGTTCACATCTTCTTGTTCCTTCTCATAAATTTTTCCATTATTTACGATTTCCTTTTTTCCCAACGATTTTCAATTTTTTTGTTTTAACATGTCATTCATTTTTTTCGAAATATATTTTTTTTGGCCATATTATTCAGATTTTGCACAACGAGCTAATAAATGAAAAATCTAGTAATTTGAAATTTTTACATTAAATTATACATTATATATATATATATATATATTATATACATATATATATTATATATATATATATGTTATTTTGATACATTCTTTATAATAAAGGGCAAATTGAAAACCTCACTGGAAAAAAAATTTTTCACATCGAACTATTCGATTCTAGTATTTTAGTATGTAGTTTAACTAGTATGTAGTTTTCCAAAACTTGTTTTATTTAGCTGTCAGCTGCCAATAATATCAATCATAATCTCTTCATTTTCTAGTTCATTTATTTCGGAGAAAACTTTATCTATGATATGTTTCCAGATATTTTCACTTGCTTATTTATGCGTATTGATTCAATAGGGTATTGAAGTTCATAGATTTTATTTCATATAAGGCTTTTCTGGATTATATTTTAGATTTTCAAACGCATATTCTATTTCTTAGATTGGCGAGCATTTTACTAGTTTCGTCATTATGCGCTAATTTATCCTATAATCCGCCTCTGCAACTGTGATTAAACTGGGGCTTACCTCTTCATTTTCATGCGATTTACAAATACTATATTTGGATAATAATTATCGAACATATTGGTGACGAATCTAAATTTATTTTTTGCAAATTTGCAAAACCTCATCGAACTTGTTCACGATATTGTCGGCTCCAAATAAAATATTACGCAGTACTGGAAATATGATTTGTTGGCCAAAAGTTTGCGAAGAGTTTATTGTTGGAATTTTTGGACTTAAAAATACACTTCTTTTCTTTTTTTATTTTCTCAGTATATTTTTTTTTATTTTCTTGAAAGAATTGTCAGATAGGGCCTAAGCCAAATGTAAGTGAACAAATAAAAACAAAAAAAAGCACTGAGAGAAGGAAATCAGCAAAAAAAGGATAGAATAGATAAGAATGGAAAAAGTTGCACTATTTGTCAAGGAAGTAATTTGTGTCACGAAAAAAAATTCTGCAATTTAAATTTTGATCCGCAAATAGATTTGCGTAATTTTATTCCCTTACACATAAGAGTTTAAAGATAAAGCGTAATATTTAGTAGAGTTTGAGTCAAAGAAACTAGTAATATCTATGTAAAAATCAGATCTTATTTAATCCTTCTAATCCTTCTAATAAAGAGTCGGAATTTCATAAGCTTATCTCAAGTTAATGATTGATCAGAATTTAAATGACTTAGAAAAGACATTACGCATTAAATTAATTGACTTACTAAATCGAGAATAATTACAAACTGCGTTATACTCTAAATGTGGAAGTTTTGTATACATTTTAACAAGTTAAACCTCTATTGACCTGAGGCTCTGAATATTTTGGAGAACCGTTTAACTAAGTTTCTGTTAGAAAGAAATTATCTGCTATAGAATTTCTAAACAAATCGAATCGTTCGATATGTACGAAAAATTTGTTGTCCACAGAAAACACATTTTTTTCTTTTTTTATCACTCTTCGTATTTTAGAACGAAAAAAAAATTAGGAAAATTTTCGTCCAAATTTTTTTTCGACGTCTTTTTAGGTATTTTCAGGAACAAGAATTTTTGAAGAACAAAACATGATTGTCGCGAGAATTTCTTCTCTCATATGTTCTATCTCATATTTGGCCGACTCTGCCTAAATCCCTCCTCGAAAGAATCGCTTTGGAACAGAAGTACAAGATGGGTCCATAGCACCGTAATAGGTTTATTTTTGTTACGAAGCCAACGTCCAGCCCATGGTGCTTCTCTTCGGTCCAAACTATATACCACTCTGCCAACCAGTAAAATATAATTTTTTTATTAAAGAAAATTTTCTCCTTGAAATTTTTAGCTACTGAAGAGTAATAGCAAATCAATTATCCTTTTTTAAAAGCTGAATGCTTGGCGAATTCTCAGCGAATTTCGTCAGCGTTCTCTGATTCAGTCATTTGATGCTTTGTTTTTTATCGCATTTTACTGATTTTATTCTTTTCGAATATTTCATTTAATCCAGCGAAAAAAAATTATATTTATATGAGAAATCAATTTAATTCATTCGAAGAGAGAAATAAAAAAAAAGTTCGACGAAAATTCAAGAAAAATTGTACGAAAAAAAAATTCCTTCTTTTAGTGGTACTCAGCGTTTCTGAATTAGTACACAACATTGATTATTAAGTTGGAGAGCACTTAATAAGGGAGGGAAGGCAAATAGGTTCGCAGCATCATCCGGATTTCATGTTGTTTTAAATGATCGTTTTAAAAATCGTCAGCAAGTTCGCCTTTTAACAGCCATTGCTGGTTTAATGCACTGGTGACTAGAGTGTTGTTCCAAGCCGTTCGATCCGAACTCGTGCTTAAAATTAACTGAAGCCACTCATTTTTCTATCCATATATAACGGGGATACCTATGCGTTCAAAATCTCCCTTGATTCGCTTTACACTGTCCATCGCAGGGCCTAGCAAGCAGCGAGGTGTGCGTCATTCCTGCGATAAACGCCGAAGAACGTGGTCTAACCAGCTTACGTTAAAGTTTTATCACAGAAGTATTCAATAACAAATTGATCATATTTAAGAAATATCTCCAGTACTTTTTTGTTACGTCCAACCATGAAATGAAATTTTTGTCTTCTCAAAGATTTTTCGTGGGAATTTAGCCGAATATTTTAAGAAATTTTAAAAAACTGGAGAATGCTTAGTTATGACGTATGGGCAAACATCTTTCTCGAGCCTATAACTCTAAGTTTAAATAAGAGTGAATGTGTTTTTAAAGTAAAACAAATTTTAGGTAATAATTAGTGTATCTCTAACTTTGTTGGCAATTGAAATTAAATATTTTTAAAGAATACAAATCTTAAAAGAAAACAATTTCGTGGATTTATAAATACCATTTATTATAAAGTCGCGTTGATATTAATTTTGCAGTTTAACTAACTAATAAGAAAAGTTATTTTCCGCATTTTTTGTTAAGTGCAAAAATTTATTACTTGCCGCTAATTTCTGATCATTGATTGTCGCACATTAATATATTTCACCGGTTATTTTGGAATAGGGACCGCAAAAGAAGTAGAGCTGTACCGCGGCTGTAAAACGTATCATATATATTGCCGGGAGGGTAGAAAATTTGCATATGGAAGTAATCTCATATAGATTAATTCAGTGGTTCATAGCCTTGGAAATAGGAGTTTAGCTTTTGAAGTTCTGGTTGAGAGAGTTGGAACTATCTTTGAGAGTTTTACGGGAGCTACGGGTCTTTTGTGGGAAATTCGCCAAAAGCTGTGGACTTCTTTAACAATCTCGTTACCAAAGAAAAAAGCTTATCGATATATAATTTAAATTTATAAATCAAAAAAATTGTACAAACAATGGCTGTAAAATTGGCCATTCTTCGACGACAGCAGCTGCCTATATTAGAAAAGAGAATGGATTTCTTTTGGAATTTACGGTGTAAAAATTAGCGAAATGCATGAAATTCATTATGGGAAATACGTTAAGTGCCGCTGTTTCTTTTCACCATCCCCAGTTTCCTTCTTTACGGAGATAAATGTCATTCTGGCACATTTCCGATTTCTTGAGTTAAATTTTATGTTTATATGCTTTTTCATTTCTCATTTTATTCTCTCTTCCATTCGTTCATTTATTTAATTCCATTGTCAAGAATATTCATCTGTTATTTTTTTGATTTAGAATGCGGATATTAGATTTTCTTTAAAATTGGTTTATGAATTTGTTTGTCATATCGCGAGAAAAAAATTTTTTTCTTGGTAGTAAGGAAGAAATATTTTATTAATTTTTTTATTATTTAGGACGAGAAAAATTTTAGGAATATAATTCATCGTGGAATGGATCGAATTAGGCGTTCGTTTCGTGAATCATTTCGTTGGAAAACAACAAGGGATCAACTTGGACGAGATTTGCCTCGAGAACAGTCGCCAGCAAATAGTGCGCAGCCTAGTGGTTCTGGTGCACCTGGTATGAATGCAGATGATAAAGCAGAATTATGGCAACCTGATGAAGCAGCAGTTCGCAGTGGTACTTGCAGTTTTAATGTCAAGGTTATTTTTTCTTTTTGTGGTGATTACTATTTTCTAAATATTTTAAGCACATTTTTCGCAAAAATAATTAATTAGAAAGATTGATAAACGAATAACAGTTTTTTTCGAGTTTCATATCTATTAATTTACTAGTTAGAGGTAATTTTATGCAATCTATTTTAGCGAAAAATTAGAATCAGTTCGATGTTACAAAGTGTCAAATGAAGCATTTGCTGTAAATATTTCTAGCTATTTATATTATTTCAAGTTGTTTTATCGTTGTCAATAAAATATTCCATCTTTAAACGTATACAAGAAGTTTCAGTACCTTGGATGTATAGAAGTTTTTGAATCACGTGGAATGCAAGTTTGCGAAGGAGCCTTGAAGTTACTGCGCGTATGTTTTATCAATTTTAATAGTAATTAAATTTGAAATTTTCAATTAATTTAAATTATTTACAGTTTCTCAGTTTTTTCATTTTATTTTACGTCTTTACTGGTTGTTGAAATGAAGCAATTGTTTAATTCTAAAATTTTTTATTATAATTTAATATAAAAGCTATACATCGCTTTTTTTTGCGCTTGGCAAGTTTCCTATTATTAGACAATAATAGGTTGTTATCAGGATTCTTTTAAAAAAAAATTTATTGCGCTTGCCAATCGTTTTAAATCATATTCAAGATTTCAATCAAAATTTCGAAATTTTTTTAATTGCAGAATCAAAGGCGAAAACCAGTCAAGTCTATTTTGTACGTATCTGGTGATGGATTACGGGTAGTTGATCAAGAAAATAATCGAGGTCTCATTGTTGACCAAACTATTGAAAAAGTAAGAGTATTGGTAATCATATTTTATTCGTTAATGATTATTGTTCTTCTTGTCTTTTGAGGATTCTTGAATAACTGCATTTACCTTCATTTAATAACCTTCATTTTTATTATCTCTTCGATAACTTTCATTCATAAGATCGCTTACTCTAATTTTTCCTTTTTTTACAGGTTTCATTTTGTGCACCTGATAGGAATCATGAGAAAGGTTTTGCATATATATGTCGTGATGGTACTTCTAGGAGATGGATGTGCCATGGATTTCTTGCTATTAAAGAGACGGTATTTTCTTCTCTGTTATATATGCTAAATTATTCTTGGTCCTGTTGACAGGTCATTTATTTGTTCATTGTAATCAGAATATTTTTAGGGCGAACGGCTCAGTCATGCTGTAGGCTGCGCATTTGCAGTTTGTTTGGAAAGAAAAAAAAAGCGTGACGCTGAAGCTATTTCTGCAGTACATGCTGCTGCTGGTTTACAACCCATCGATACAGCATTGCGCAATAGGCAGAATATTTTTGAGGGGCAGAAAAAATTTAGTGGTGCAAATTCAACATATCTTACTAAGTAACTTTTTATATGTGATGAATTTTCGTGAGATGAGGGTATCCATATTATTGCTGCGTGTTTTTTCTTTTTTTGTAATTTTTTTTCCAGAGGTCAAAATTCAGCTTATGGATCATTTCGGCGGCAACTATCCATCACTGAACGACTTCAAGATCCTCAGTCTGCGATAGTTCAAGAACCACCTTCAAGGGTTGCAGAGCATAATGATCTTAGAATAAGTGCCAAACCACGGCCACTGGCCAATCCGTTACTGTTTGAGAGACATGTAAGTCAATTTGTTTTCCCGTTTTAATACTTGGAAAATAATTTTAGTAAAATTAAGTCTCTTTCAGGGTTCACTGAGAGCACCTGATTCTTCTACCGCAGCAGCTACTGCATTTAGACGACAGTTTTCCTTGCGATCTTATTCAGATTCTCCTTCCAAATCAGTAAGTTTCTAAATCATCGTTATTAATCATCGTTATCTGTTCAGATTATTTTTTATTTCATTTCTATTCGTTCATTTTAGTATCGAACGGCTTGTTGTTTTAATCAAAGTGACGCGATTGCTGAAGGAGAAGAGGAAACTTCGTCACAAAATTTAGGCGATATGTCAAATAAAGTTGAGTCCTTGACACTGATTTCAAAGATGTAAAGTTTTAAAATTCATTATTGCTTTTTCATTTGTTGATTCACAATATTCAGAATAGATTAGATGAATTAATATTTTTGCAGAAACGATGAAAGCTTAGATAATATAGCAAATGAAAAATATTCTGGTCGCTCTAAAGCCGATGAATGGCTCGAACAGACCTTTAGATCTTCGTTGTCAGTGAATTCCCCTTTAAAAAATTTTGCGGAAACACCTAGGACTGATTTCTGCAGAGGTTTGAATTCCTTTCTTGTCATGATGACAATCATTTTTAGTTTTTTTTGCTGTCATCAAAATAATCCTTTAGGGAAATTGTTTAAAAAAATCAAATAAAACCAGGTATTAGCTAGCAAAGAGTAAATTTGCAGCTGGACCACCACCAAGCCAACCGCCACCACCTCTTCCACCTGCATATGTTCTTGCCACTTCTAGGCCTCAACGTCAAGAACTTCTTCCTGTTGTTGAATCAGTTAAATTTAGTTCGGATTATTCAAAATATGAATTGCCACCTATTACGGAAGCGTTCAGTTCTGTTACTGAGGTTCAGTTATTTGTGATTTTATCTAGAAATGTTCAGATTTGCAAATCTTTTTTAACATTTTAACTAAATTTTCTTCTTAAGGTAAATGTGCAGTCACCAGCTGTGCAAGCAATGGATGTTTTTGGTCAACCAATATTCAATCCAGTGAGTCAGTTCTCATCCGCAAACTCATGTAATTCAAGAATGTTTAACGGTATAGTTTTTTTAATGATGATTTTTATGTTTTTCTTTGTTCTTTTGTGGGATTCGCATTCATGCTTCCAGTTTTCTATTTGTAAATAATCCATAGTGTATTCCATACATAGCGTCCTATGCAATTTAAAAATCGCAGTTATGACTGATTAAAGTTTTTTGATGTTTACATTGTATTACATTTGAAGCCACCCTCTTGTTTCACTTAAAAAGTTTTATATAATTGTAATAAATGTAATTGACGTTAAGGAAAAAACTGCACGATAAGCGGTTGCAGTAGTAGTGGTTCAACACTAGAAAATTCATTTTCAAACTGTAGTCATGTGAATATTGAAACTTCTTGTATCAAGCAGACAGGTTCAGTATCAAGTTCCAACCAAGAGGGCTACGATCCATTTAACGTTAAGTGGTCACAGATGGCAATCGCCAGTTCAATTTCGTTCAATCAGACTTCAGTCAAGTCAACGAACCCATTCCACTGCGAACTGAATACGCTGAAAACATGATCATCTTCTTTTTTTAGTTATATTCATCGTCTGTGATTGGCGATATTTTCATAGTATATATTTTTATAATTCCAGTGAAAACCGTTTTAGCGTTTTCTTAGAAACTTCGGTAATTTGGTGTAATTATATCCACTTATTTGTTTATTAATTGGTATCGTCGAATTGTAGAAATAATAATTATATTAATTTCGGCACTCTCCCAGTTTTTAGTTTTAATTTCATAATTTTATTACTGTTACAAAGGAAAATTTTTTATTTATAACAAATTGACTTGTTGGGGAATTGCCGTATTTTTCTGTTTTTTACTTGTATCGTATGAATTACAGATAAAATTTATTTTCGCAGTGATTATTTTAATTATGTTTTGCCGGTATTGTGGAGAATTTCCCAAAATTTATAATTTAACTTTTATATCAATTAAGTCTAAAATAGGCAAAATTATGAGGTTGATGGTATTTTGATCGCCAAAAAAACAACGATCGGAACATCGTCCTATTTGAAACTCAAAGAGAAATCAGTTTCGAAAAGCTATGAGAAAATACTGTCGTCATCTACCGCTCTGACAATTTCTAGCCGGGCAATTACGCGCGAAAAACGGTCTGTTTAACTTTGCTGTATGAGACCGAACTGTTTTAATACGCATGAAGTAATTTGTTTTAGGACGTAGTAAATAGAAGTGCAAAGCCAGAAAACAATTTATTCAGCGAGAAGCATTTACAATCTATAGTGCTGTAGGGATTGATGCTGGGAATTATACGGCTGCTATTTTCGTAATGGCCTTGTGCGTAATATTCGATCGCGTGCGGTTTATTGGAGTCGCGTTCGCAGTAAGTTGTATCTGTTATAGAAAGTGAGTTCATTTGATCCATTTTTCTTCACTGAAAAGTTTGAGCTGTGAGAATGACCTTTAACCTCACTCGGCAGAATTTGTTTTTGTTAATCACACCTTTCTTTGCGTTTGGTTCATGGAATCGAATCGTTTTTTTTGCGCGAAGTTTAAGTATTTTATTATAATTCATGTCTATCGGTGGTCGAACGTTTTTCGTAAACGAGTTCGTGGTTTTGCGGAGTGTTTCTAATCTTCTAAAACGGCTAAACGGTTGATGAGGTAAAAAACATCGAAAAACACTGAAATTATTTGGGTTGGCTGTGGTATTCAGGTTTCATATGGAGCAATGCGTGGGTGGCTCATGACAAGATGATTACCACCGAGAATTAAGGCTTGGGTTCCAGCCCGCCGACGCACCGTCCTTCGTCGGGCGATAAATCTCCTAACTGAGAAAAGCAAAGGAGAGTTAGAATGGTCCGGTGGGTTGTTGCTTTATTCGGAGCGCAGATGTTGAAGTTATCTTATCTTCGGACAGGCAAGCTTATAAAACTTGTCCAAAAGTCGGAGACAACCCATCTTTACTTCTGTCGGGACTCCTTGGCATTTGTCCATTCCGATAAACCAGCAGAGCGAGTTCAGCCAGTAATGGTCAATGCTCCTAAAAAACAAAGATGAATCGAGAGAATTCGATGGAAATAGCGGTTTTTAGATTCTTTTTAGAGTCTGATCGAAATTGCCTGTTCTTTTGAGGATATAGTTGTTTCTTTTGAAAGAGGTGAATTCTTCTGAGAATATGTTGAAAGCTACGGATTCTTTTCTGTGGAAAGTTGCGAATTCATTTAGAGTTTGACTGCCAATTCATTTGAAGTTTTGAGAATCATTAATTTTTTTAAGAGTCTGAAGAAAGCTTTCAATTCCTTCGAAAGTACAATGAAAATTATTTATTTCAGTTTCAATTTTTTTAATATAGTTAATATAATTATATAGTTATTTCAATTTTAATATAGTTACTTCAGTTTTTACTTTTATTGCACAATATGCTAAAAAAGAAAAAAGCGGTCAAAGTCTATAAAGGCCAAATTTTCTTCATTTATTTTTAGAACGTAGTACAAGAACCACTTTAATTTGTTAGCATATAAATGTATGGATACCGGTAGGATAAAATAATATATAATAATAAATAATAAATAATAAAATATGTAATAAATTGTTTTCCGGAAAAATTATTATACTGATTATTTTCATCTATCATCAGTTTGCTGCTTTCTGTGGAATTTTTTGAAAAAAAGTGAACTTAGCCGTGATTTTTTACTTGCTTCTTGTAATTCAGTGGAATTGTTTCATTGATTTCGAGTTGTTTTTTTTCTTATTTCATTCATTGAATAATAATTGATAAAATTGGAAACTTTTCAGGATGGCAGCCCCGCTTATTAGTTTGGTCGGAAAGGTAGCCCTTATTACAGGTATGTTTTTTTCTTCAATTTTTTCCTCTATTGTTTCAATCTTTTCCCTTTCAATATGCGATTTTGCATTAGTTCGCAGCCAATGAAAATGGCAAAGCCAACTTTCTTGAATAAAAAGAGAAAATGAACGAAGGTTTCGAATAACTAGGAACTTTAGGCTTGCTCATCATCATTCTTCTTCTAACAGCTCTCACCATTACTGGTTAGGCTGGCTCCAATGGCTACAAGGGTAAGACGTTTCTGGTTCCGTTATCGACAGTAATAGAAGCCATTCCCTTTTCCACTGTCTAAGTCCATATATTGCTCATCCACTTATACGTTCAAAATTTTTCCTGACCGTTTCAGTTTAGATCTTAATTGGCCCACCTCGCTTTTGACTCCAACCGTCACACGGTTTAGCAAATAACGAAATATGCGTCAACTCATGTTGTAGACGACGAAGAATATGCCCTAACCAGCGAAGGCGGCGCTCTGTGATAACATTATTTATACAAGTGGTATTTGAACGAAGATGGATGCGATTTTGTGATATTTTATCCGCTCGATGTATCCGTAATATGTGCCTTAGACAAGAGTAGTCCAAGGCAGATAACTTCTTAATATCCTCTACTCTCATTGGCCATGTCTCAGAACCATTTAGTAAGATCGAACGGGTCACGGCAATATAGATGCAGACTTTTGTTTTTATGGTGATTTCACGACGATTCCATAAAGGTTTCGTCAACCGGAAGAATGCATTTTTAGCTGCCGTGATCCGAGTTATAATATCATCTTTTGCCTGTCCATTTGGTATTAGATTGGACCCAAGGTATTTGAAATCAAGCATTTCCTCAACCGGCAATGAATTTATAAAAAGAGGAATTTTATCAGCTTCTTGCACATAAGACGAAAAGACTTTCATTTTATTTACATTGATCCTGACTCCGATTCTTGCTGCAGTTTCTGACACGTTATTTAATATTACTTGCATTTCGTTATAACTGTCAGCAAAAAAGACTACATCATCAGCATATTTAAGGTCTGTGATAGGATGCTCTGGACTAATTCGGACACCTCTTGAGTGCCGACAAGCAGTGTCCATTATCCAGTCTATCGCATAGTTGAATATTGTGGGTGAAAGGATGCAGCCCTGACGGACACCTGTTGTCGAAAGAATCTGTCAGCTCCCCATATACACAGACCTGCGCTCATAAAATGCCGTTATGAGTCTAATGATTTTCTCTGGAACATTATCACGTTCCATCACCCTCCAAAGCGCCGCTCTATCAATTGAATCAAAGACAGCCACAAAGTCGATGAAACACGTGACAGTGGGTTGCAAATATTTGAAGCGATATTCCAACACCCTTCTTAACGTGAATATCTGGTCAACACAACGTGCTCTGGTCTGAAACCAGCTTGATTAGGGCGCATCCTGCTCTTTCGTACTTCCATAAGTCTATTGAAGGAAAGCAAAAATTTTTGCTGCGACGTCTAGTAGGCTGATTCCTCGACAACTGTTGCAGTGTGTCCTATCATCTTTCTTGAGAATTGGGAGCAGAATTGCTCTGCTCCAATCATCTGGTAATATTTCTTTTTTCCATACTAAAGAATACATTTGTTAAAGGTGCGTTAGGACGATGGACAGCATTTGAAAAGCTCAGCCTGAAAACCATCTTCTGGAATTTTGTTGGCCTTAAGCTTATGGATAATTGAAATTATTTCTTCTTCTGTTGGAGGCTCACAATTGCAAACGTATATCAGGGGCAACAGTTGGCGATTCATTGTTAAGTTTGGCCTCAAAAAATTCTTTCCATCTTATGAGGCGATCCTTAATACTTTTAATTAGTACGCCATTGCTGTCTCTTACCATTTCACTGATCGTTCCCCGAGTCATAGTTGCTTTATGAAGAAGGCAGAATAGTTTCCTATTGTCGCCTAATCGAGCCGCCGCCTCCATTCTTGAGGCTATATCACTCCAATAGAGATTTCTGTCCCGCAGTACTAATTTACTTGCAAATCTTCGAAGCACCCGGTAGTCAGAATCATCTGACATTCGTGCTTTTTCAGACAATTGGATAGTTGCTTCCGATACCCAACTAGCGCACTTCCTACTAGTATGCCCTAGCGTGGAAGTGGCTGATTTTCAGAGACATTCATTTAGTTCGGGCCAGTATTCATTTGCCGTTCCAGAAAAATCATTGATATTTGTATCAATGTATGCTTCGGTTTGAAATGCACTCATTGAATAATTCGGTTTGAAATGCACTCATTGTTCCCGAATTTTTTAGTTTGAGATAGTTGAAGGAACTTGGGGGATGCTGTTTTCTGCGAGTTGTATGCGGATCTTGGCTCGAATCATAACATGGTCAGATCCATGAAGATTGCCCGTTTCAGCACCGCGGTAGGAACGACTATTTAGTACGGAACTCTTCCAAGGATGACTGACTATAATCAATCTGGTTGAAATGCTGGTTATTCGGGGAATTCCACGTGACTAGATGTTTTCTACGACGCCTGAAGCAAGTATTAGTAATAAAAAGTTCACGCTCTTTGGCATAACGAAGAATGCGTTCCCCACTAGCGCAATGGTCTCCGATGCCATATTTTCCAGTAGAGGTCATCGCATTATAACCTACGCATGCATCCCAGTCTCCGCCGACTATGACCATGAAATGTTTCGGTAGAGACTTTGTTAGTAGTTGAAGTTCCGCATAGAGATTGTCTTTATCACGGTCATCTGCCGACAACGTTGGAGCATAGACACTGATGACCGAGATATTGCAGAACTTACCCTTAAAACGGTTAATAATTTCTCGAGATCCAAAGTGAGGAAGACGGACCTCTGACAAACAAGCGATATCCACACGATACTTAGACAAGGTGTGGACAGTGATCGCTTGGATTGCAACGTCCATAAGCGTTCTAACGTTCTTAGCCGCGTGTGCAGAGGGCTGTTACCCTTCTTGATAGGTTTCGAGCAATTACCCTGGCTTGAGAGCACATTTTATTTACCATCCTTGAGATCGCTTTAAGCCCGGATTGTAGACTTATCGCATATACCACCGGGCTCGAAGTATCATGTGTGTCGGTAGATGTGGACGCCGTATCAAATGTTGCTCATCAGTTCATTATTTTAAAAGTTATTCAGTTGTTGACTGCAATACGCTACATGAAATTCATAAAATTCATAAAATTTTTATTTGATTGGTTTATTGAAATTTGATATTTCAACAAGTCTTTGAAATTTATTATAGGGTCGACGTCTGGAATCGGGCATGCCACGGCTGTACTTTTCAATAAACTTGGTGCGTCTTTGGTAATTACAGGAAGATCACCCGAGCGCCTTGCAGATCTTTCCAATGAATTATTAAACAATCATGAGGTTTATTTTGATGCAAACTTTAAAGCTTTGATTTGTCGTTTCTTCATTCATAAATTAATTATTATAGATCAGATTTTATGATTATCATTTGAATCTTAAAGATCATTTATATTAATTTTAGCCAGTATATTTCAGGCAGAAGTTTTTGCATTTCCGGCGGACATCAGTAAAGAAGACGAAATTAATTTGCTAGTTCAAGCAGCAATCGAACGCTACAACCACTTAGATATTTTGGTTAGCTGGTATTTTTTTCTTTAAGTGGTATTTGTCACCGGGAATCAAAATTGTGCGGATTTTCTTGTAATTCAGACTAGTTATTTGTTGATAAAAGTTCTAAGTTAAAAGTTCTTTAAAGTCACTAATTAAACAAGTAAAATTCAAAATTTTCCTGAAATTGAGGATATTGATTGTGAATTTTAGGTAAACAATGCTGGAATATTAGAAAAGGGAACGATCGAAGATACTACACTCGAGCAGTTCGACCGAATTATGAACGTTAACATCCGGTCATTATTTTATCTGACACATCGTTTGACTCCATATTTGATTCTTTCTAAAGGTTGCGTTGTTAATGTATCAAGCGTCAACGGAATTCGTTCGGTATTTTTTATTCATCTTTATTACCATATAAGAATAATTATCCTATTCCCTCTTACCTTTTTCTTTGCTAAAAGTGTTGTTTATTGCAATTTTGCTCATTATATGTTTAAGTTCCCTGGTGTTCTCGCTTACAATATCTCCAAAGCAGCAGTTGATCAGTTCACTCGATGTGTTTCACTGGAATTGGCTTCTAAAGGTGTTCGAGTCAATTCAGTCAAGTAATTTTTCATTAATGTTCATTTATCAAGTTCTAAAGCCTTTTGCCATTTTAAAAATTTAATATAAATAAATAAAATTTATTATGAAATCGGATTTATTCAGAAAATTTTAAGTGATTAAAATGGGTAATGGTCTATAAAATGTTTCTTTTATATAGTTCGTTTCAGCCCTGGTGTTATCAAAACGGAATTGCATCATAGAAGCGGAATGGACCAAACTGCATATCAAGCATTTTTAGAGCATTCTGAATCAACTCATGCATTGGGTCGTGTCGGTCAGCCAGAAGAAGTTGCTAGCGCAATTGCTTTTCTTTCTAGTAATGCAGCTTCGTTCATTACGGGAGTATCGATTCCAGTCGACGGTGGTAGACATGCGATGTGTCCACGTTAGACTATTCATCTATTATCTTTTCACGTTGAACTTTGTTCTGATGTCCACTGAACTTTTTTCAATATGTTGGCTTTTGTTTCATGTTTGAACATTTTACTGAGTTAGAAAAGAAATGGTATACTTGTTTAATTCTTATCTAGATATTTGTGGTTTCAAAATTTTCTAACTAATGAAAAAAGTTGCATCGTACTTACTCGTTTAAAATTAGCTTTTTTTTGGGCATGTGAAGTGTTAGGTACCGATTCATAGCAGAACGCAGATATATTTTCTATTCCTTTTTCTATTCGTTAACAGAAAAACTTCTTTCTTAACTTCTTTTGATAGTTGTGAGCCGTTTGATATAGTTTCCTTTGTTTAGTTATCTATAAAGGTTTTCAACTGCAAATTTGTCATACACGCGAAACAGCAACGTAAAAAATTTTACTTGATACGAAAATCAAAAGTATAAGCCTATAAACTGATAAATGTGGATAAATTGGCCGTTTTGTTTTAGTAAGATTCCGTTGTGCCATTTAAAAACATTTTATTATAAAAATAAATAAATATTGTGTGAAATTAGAATATTGCCATGTCCGTATTAAAATTTCAGTACTGAAATATAACAGCTGGATTCTTAAAACATGATGTGAATATTTAGTCTAAGTTTAAATATTTGTTACAATATTCTGAAATTTAAATTTATAGGTTTTACAAGAGCGTCGGAGAGCAGTGGCGCACCAAATTATGATATGGATGAATGTTTAGGGTCTTTCACGGCTGAAAGTTCTTTAGTTCCTATTCAAGTAACAGCGAATCCGGAACCAGCTGATCGTCCACCTCGCCGGGCTAGTCAACGTCTTGCAAGTCGTTACTTGCTTAGGTAAGTTGTGAGTCGTTCGACTTTGTTCTAGTTTTACCTCAAACGATTTGGGTGTTTTTAGCATAGGCATAAGTGCAGGTATGTATTGAAATTATTTCTATATCTTATTCTTATCCTTCTTATAATGCGTAATTGGCTGATTTTTTATGAGCACTTAAGCGGCTAAAGACTAATTATCCTATTTCTTAGGCAAAACGCTGGCCGTCTTCGCTATTCTAATGGTGCTCGAGATGATTATGAACCGCAGCCTCATCCTGTTTATGATTCTTACTCGAGATCTCGAGGAAATCGAATGGCAAGAAAAGATGAACAACGAAAAATAATGAATTTAACGTATATTGAATATTAATCATTATTAATATTGATTAATCATTAATATTGATATTATCTATTTAATATTTAATCTAAATCAGATTTAATCTAAATCAGATTTAATTTGTACATTGTTGAAATCAAATTTTTGTATTCCACTGGATTTCTTGTATTCATAACTGTTTAATATTGAATACAACATTCATGTTTAGAGAAAATCCGAAAGCATTATCTCGCATTTCTAGTGAACCAGTTTTTTGCGAAAAGTTCATTTCTACTGTGGTAGATTTGCCGTTATCCGTTCTGCTACGTAGTGATCAGTATGTTTATCATTTTCTTCATTTTTTTCATTTTTTAAGGGAAGGAAAGATTCTTTTAAAAAGAATGTGGCTTTGCAGTTTGAATGTTAATGTATGTGAATGCGTCCCATATATACGGCTCACTGGTGATGCTTGCTCTTTCTCTTTCATCGTGGATACAACGAAATTCAGCGTGAACGAGATCAATAACGACGGGCTTGGTTTATATTTTTCCTCATTTTTTACTTTCAATAAAAAAAAGAAAAGTGTATATTAAGCGATATGTGCTGGAAAGGATTTGTTTTATGCTTTGATCTTGGTACCATTACACCTTTTGAGTCGGCATTCCTGCTCATTCCAACTTTTGTATAGAAATACATTTAGTCAAATTTTTTTTTGAATCTTGCACAATTTGCTCGATCCTTGAAGAAGTTTGCTTTTTTATATTTTTGTACCGATTTTTTTCTTTTTAAATTTTCCAGCACTAACTTTAATAGCAAATTTTTGAAGATCCATGGAATCTAAAAGGTGGTTCTCGGCTTTCAATGACCAAATTCTATTTCAATAACGACATGTGTAAATGTGCGCAAGGAGAACATGTATTTTGTGTGCAACGTAAAGCTTATATCCATCCTCGTTGCATACCGTCTGGCTCGATTAAAAAAATTATATGGATAATAATGAAGCGGAATGATATATGCAGGTATTTCCATAATAAAAATTTCCTTGTCCAACTGATGTAATCTTTATTATTTTTGCATTATCAAAGATTTAGTATAGCCGCAATTTTTTCCATTTCAGTACAGAAAAAGATGATTTTCTAATATTTAGGCTATAATTTGAAAAGTAGAATGCTAAATCTAGATCGTTATCCATCATATTTCAATATCACTTGAGTGGTTTTTTTTTGAAAAAACTTCAGTATTTAACTTCTTTTTAAGGTATGCTCTAATAACGTATAATATCCTTGAAAATGCTGCAATTGACGATCCACGCCGTAATCGTTTGGGCATAATAAAGAATGATGAAACAGTTGATGTTGATGGAAATTCTGATACCACATCACGTCGACCAACTATTCTTCCGTTTCCTGCATTGAAAGTTGAAAATGCAAGCTTTTTTCATTTTCGGCCTGTCCTGATCAATTTATTGAGTTTTTTTCTTATTGATTTGATCTTTATTGTGAGGCAATAAATACAGTTTGTTGTTAGCTTCCCATTTTAACTAAAAGAGTTTATCAAAAAAGGTTCAGGATGAGCTTATATATGAAGACGATGCCAACAATCCGGGATATGCCTTGGATAAATCCAATGTGGAATGTCATTCTCAGCACACACTTTCGTTTATTCCTGAATTGAGTGATGAGTAAGTTTGTCCTTATGTTATTGTCCTTAAATTATTTATTTATTTATTGAAAACCAGCCAAGCAGGGCGCAAACGCTATGTGCTTGTATTAACAACAACAGTTAAAATAAAAAATAATAAGAATTAATGACAAAAAACAAAAAAATAATAATATTAAAATAAAATAAACATTTTGAAGATGAAATAAAGAAGATATTGCAAAATAATATAATATAGTACAAATGACTATAATCGGATGGTATAAATCGCGATTTCACACTTCCTGCATGATGTGAACTTTTTAAATAATATCATAAATGATATTATCCATTTTTTTTTAAAGATAGCTAGGGATGGCGCACAAGCTATGTCGTTCCGTAATTTATTCCAGTAATTAATAGTACGAATAAAGAAGTTAAGGAGAGTCCTTAGTTTAGTTTTAGATATAATTTTTAATAATTATTAATAATAATAATTAATAATATAATATTAATAATAATAATTTTTAATAATAATAATTTTAGCCCATTAGTTCTTGTTGGATTTAAATTTAATCTGAAATTATAATATTTTGAACAATATAGTGTAACATAACCATACAAAATCTTATAAGTATAAATTAAATCTTGTTTAATGCGACGTACTGACAGGGAATCCAGGTTATATTGTAGAAGTTTTCTTTTATAATTAAAACGCAATTAGGAGAGAGGCGCAGTATAAAATATTTTTGGAGTCCTTCAATTATTTTACTTAATTTACGATATCTCGGGGAGTAACATGTAATACTATAGTTAAGAAGTGGCCGAACGAACGTACATTTTAATGAGAAAATGAGTAAGTTTTGTTCAAACGAAAAATAAAATTTAGTATCTTTGAGGATTTCTTTACCATGGTTCTGCAATGAAGGTCGAAATCGAGATTTTCATCCATGATTATTCCAAGATCGGAAATGTGTGAGACTCTACTGATTATATTGCCATTAATAATAAGATAAGATAAGAAAATCGAAACCTTTAAAATTGATATGAAGAAATCTAAATTTTTGAAAGGAAAAAGTAATTTGCCTGTCATGTAGCCACCTGGCTATTCTGTTAAGGTTTTTCTGCAGTGGAGATAGGCTATCTGATCTACCATGAGAATAATAAATTTTACAGTCATCAGCATAAAGATAAATAGTAGAATTTAGTACCACAAAAATTGACTGAAAGAGTTTAATGCAAATAATAGGAAATATAGTTGTTAAATAGGATATTACAGATTTTAATATGATGAATGAAACTTTTCAAGAATAAAAAAGAATATATATATAACAGAAAAAGCAAAGACGCAAAGCATTTACCAGATTTAACAGGTTTTGTGTCAGAAAGAGTGTTGTTGACGAGTACGATTTGGTGACGGTCTTTTATGTAATCTGACACCCAGTTATAAAGGGCTCCTATAATGCCATAACTATTAAGAGTGATCAGTAATTTACTATGGGAAAACAGTATTAAAAGCCAAATATAGCCAAATATAGGATACACAACTGATACTGTCGATGCAGACCAAAGGGAAACATTTCCCAATATTTGTGAAAAAGTGGATTTTTTTGTACAAAAGCCATGCTGATAAGGGGTTATGAAATTATTGCCATTAAGATAAGTAATTTGTTGCAAATCAGCCTTTCGAGTACCTTGCTACCAACGCATATTAGGCTAATAGGTCTATAATTAGAAGCGTCATAGGTGTTTCCATTTTTATAGATGGGAATTATATGAGACAGCTTCCAAATTTTGGGATTAAGGCCAGATTTCATAATGCCTTTATAAATTAAAAATAGTGGAAGACTTAGTGAAACTGCACATTTTTTATAAATTATTTGTGGGAATATTATCGGGATGAGGTGAAATGGATGGCTTAAGTCTATTTAAGGCATCATATATATCTATCCAGTAGTGCTATTTTTATTTTAATTTCACCGAGAGAACAAATTCGATTTACGTTAAAACTAGAAGTATGAGTATTATCCTCATCAAAAAATGCACTGGAAAAATGTTGATTAAATATACTTGTAACATCAATATCAGATGTGAATTATATTACTTATATATTAAAATTGCATTACTTTTGGAATGATTTATTATTTTCCCTGATTCTTATTCTTATTTTATGATGATATAAATGATTGTTGTGATTGAAGGCTTCTGTTTTAATTTTGCAAAGAATCACTTTTGTTTAGAGAGTTCAACAGTTTGCAATTTCAGATGTTTGCAACAATTGACTAATGCACCTGTTTACAAACAGATTTTCATAAATTCGGTTCGTGATATTCCCCTGGATTTTTTACTTCAGAACTCGTTGGTTCTTTCATTTTTTACTTGGCATTTTAATCATTAATGTTCTTGAAATTTAGTCAGGAAAAATTTAGCGGTTAAATGTAAAAAAAAGCACTTTTCAAGGCCGGATGAATCAATACCAGTTTGTGATTTCATTCCTTCATTGAACCCATGCGGCCTTGCAGCAACACTATCATTCATTGTCGATACTAATCGCGTTCCCGTTTGCGATTTAAGCTCGGATAATCTCGGTTAGGTTGACGGTTAAATATTTTTAATTGAGTTTTCTCTAGTTTTATCCTTTTTTTTCTATGCTCTTTTATGCTCTTTTATTTTCCTTTCTGAAGCCTTTCTTTTATTTCAGGACAATGGAACACGAAGGATGGTCAGCGTATGAGTGTTCGTAAATTTTACTATAAGGAAAAACTGAAATGTGCTGAAGGAGAACATGATTTCTGTGTTATAAGGCGTAAATATACGCACCCACATTGCGTACCACCAAATTCGGTTCGAAAGGTAATTTGGTTGGTGAAAAAGGAAAATTTTTGCAGGTCCTTTTTTCTTATATTTTCGCAAAATCTTTTGAAATATTTCGTCGATTTTTATGCTAATCCTTTGCTACCTACTTATAAATAGTTTATGCAGTTTATTCAATAAGCCGTGTCAAATTCTCTTTTTTTCGAAATATTCTTGTAAATCTTAACATTTTTGATCTTAAGGTATGCGGTTATTTCTTATTTTATCGATTCGGATGCGCAAGTTCCCATAATACCACACGGCAATTCCAAAAAAAATGACAAAGGTTATGTGAGAACTCGTCCAAGTGAGATTAGAAAACGTCTTTCCAAATCCAAATATAAGTACAGCGAAATCAATTCTTATCCACTGGAAGTTGCCATTTCTGACGCTGATGTAGATGTAATCGATGAGGTTTTTTTGTAGTTTTTAAAAAGAGATTTATAAATAGATTAATAGATTTTTTTGAAAGTAGTTTTATTAAATTTCTAGACTTTTATTTTCAAATGCAAAATTTCTAAATAGGTTTGAATTTTAAGGAGAGAGAAATAATATTTTTTTTCATGGGATATTTTGTTTATTTCAGGGTGAAGAAGGAATTGCATGTTCTTCTGATGAAGGGAACTCTGATATTATTGTTGTTGATCCTCTAGAAGATAGTAATGGAAATTCATATTCAGATATCAATATATCAGATGAGTACGAATTCAATGAATCCTATCATTGTCATTCTAATTTATTTTTTACTTAGTCGGATTCTTTTTGTATTTTGTGTTTTTAAATTTTTTTTAGGGAAATGATTAAACGCATTGCGGAAATTACAACTGCGCCTTTATTTTCATGCAAATATATTAATGCTATTGGTCAAGTACCTATCGAACTTCTTCGGCGAAGCGATTTGTTTGTATTTTCCTATTATTTACCGAGATTGTATAAGATGACAGTTGTTTTTATTAATTAAAAAGCAAATTCTCGCTAAAATTGTAACTTATGCAGCATACATCTTTAAATGATCTTGGTTTTTTTATCTGATGATACATGGAATACAAAGTGTAGGATAAGATGGCTCAGTGGGCTATTGCTCAATTGGGAGCGCCGATGCTGAGGTTCGATTCCCCACAGGAATAAACCTGTACAAAAATCTGGGTGATGCTGGCGGCTCACCTATATTTCTTTCGCCAAGGGATTCCCTGGCATATTGCTCAATGCCACAAGCCAGTGGAACGAGTTTAACCAGTAATGGTGAGGGCTCTTTAAAAAAACTTGATATGACTAATCGAAATTGAAAACTGAAAATTTTCTAGGAGCAAAAGTAGAGATTGTGAAATTCTTATGCCATTTTTTAAAAGGATTTTTAGGTCGGCTGATTTAGCACCAGTAAATTACAGTGTCCCTCAAATTCAGATTACTGGTAAAGGAGTATGTATGTCATTCATCGTCGAATGTAGCCAAATACCAATTCCAGAGTTAGCAACTGATGGATTAGGTATATTATTAATGAATGATGAATGAATGTGAATAATAATGATTATCTGAGATTTCGTCGAGTTATTTACATTGATGCAAAAATTTTAGGCTCATGGAATACGAAGTGTGGTAAACGGGTTTCTGTTTATAAGTTCTTTTTTAACAAAAGTAAAATGAAATGTTTGGAAGGAGAGCACGAATATTGCGTTTTGCGGAAGAAATATGTTCATCCGTTTGCAAATCCTCCAAATTCAGTGAGAAAAGTCATATGGCTAGTGAGAAGATTCGACAAAACTTACTATAGGTTTTTATCTCTAAACCGCTTCTATGAGTATTTGCTATTTATTTTTTATCATTTTTTAATTTTCGGACTCATATGTGAATCAATCGTTTAGATATGTCTTAATAACATATCGCATTCAAGATGATGCTGTTGTCGAAAGACATATTTCAAAATCACCTCACCGTACATATCAACCATTGCCTCCTATGGAACCTGTTGATGAAGAGTAACTTTTTTGTTTTTTGTCGTTTAAAATGTAAATACTGTTTTTAAGCTTAAAGATTATAAGTTTAGTGCGATTTTATTTTAAATATACATCAGCAGTTGAGCGCTAAAACTGTGATTGTCGTTGATTGTTTTTATGAAGAATATTTCCATTATTCTTTCTCCACAGATTTTATGCACTTTTTTTTCAGAGTTATCACGAGCGAAATAATGCGAATAACACAAAGTCCTGTTTATTTGAAGCGATTTATCAATAATATCCAAGAGTTTCCATTTCAATTACTTCTTACACCTTGGAAGTATCGTTGTTTTATCATATAGTTTCAAAATTTTTTAGGGAGACGTTTGAAGATTTGAATAGATTAGCGTTGACCATTTTACGGTGTATGAATCTGCAACTAAAAGCGCTGTTTTAACGGATCAGTATCTTTTAGTTTGGACGAACCAGTTTGTTACAGTGTGCCACATATTGACATTTTGCGTGAACCAACTAAAGTTGCTGTTCAGTTGTCTTTTATTATTGATACTTCCAAAGTCGCTGTTTCAGATCTTAGTACTGACAATCTTGGTATATCTATTTTAATTTCGTTTATTCATCCTCAAAGCATCAATTTTTGATACATCAGAAAAATTTTTTAAAATTTCTTTTATTTTGCATATTTTTTTTATACAGGACAGTGGAACACATCACACGGTCGACGTATGACATTAAGAAAATTCTTTTTTAATCGTGAGAAACGACGCTGTCTAAGGGAAGACCATTATTACGTAGTTACTCGTAAAACCTATGTGCATCCAAATAGTATCCCTGATGGAGCAGTGAGGAAAATTATTTGGCAATTAAGTACAGATCGCGGCTTCACAAGGTTTTCTTTGGCATTTTATTTTGAAATTAAACGTTTTTTAGTTTTCGAGATTGATTGAATTCATTTTCAGGTACGCATTAATAACATTTGATATTGGTGCTGAAACTGTTGTGGAAGCTATTCCGCACGGCAATTCGAAAACGAATACTGAAGTTTATGTGAGGAGAGAACCAAGTTTAACTATAAACGAAAGAAGGGCTCAGAGAAGAATTGAAAGAACTAGACAGTTGAGTTTTTATTTTTTATTGTATTTAAGGTAAAAGCATAGCACAATAATTTGCGAAACCTCTTTGAAAAATTCCATCACAGTTTTTTTTTTTAGCACCTCACCTTCATCCAAACGAAGCAGGTTGACAGCTCCATCTTCTATTACACTTTATGGAGAAGAATTCATTGAAGGGATGGATGGCACTTATTTAACGCATGAAGATTTGGTATGCTTTGGTTTTCAAAATATATGTGGGTAATTTCAACATAATGAGCAAAAATGCAATTTTGGCGATAATTTTTCTAACATGGTCAACTTTTGATATTTAAGAATTTAAGAATTTAAATCATAAAGATCGGTCGTTTTTTATCAAAAATTCTGTTTTTAATTTTTTATTGCATTGATAATTTAGATGATACGCATGGCCCAGTCAAGTTCTCGCAGATATACTCGCCCATATCATAATGACGAGCCGTTTAATTTAGTGTTTCTTATGGATCAGAATGTGGGCCTTATCCAGTGTGCATCATGCGGAGTTGACTTTTCTCGTCATGCTCATCCACCTGAAGATATAGTGCTTGAACACATTGAGCGATTTTGGAATCAAAGAACTGGATGTTTTTCCTTGCAACAAATGCAAAAAAGGTTTTTATTAAAATTCAATTAATAATTCAAATCAGCGAGTAGATAATGTGGTATTTCTGATTATTTATTTTCCCTATTATATCTGTTGATTACTTTTCGTGCATGTCGGAGAGGAGATATCTTTTAAAAACTTTCGAGGGACATCTTATACGGATATTCAACCTTCAACTCTTTCATATGTTTTGTGGGAGATGAGGTATTTTAATAATTTGTTCATTACGGAATTTAAAAGATCTCTTTCTTTCAAATTTTTCAAAAGTTCAAAACATTGGGTGTAGTAAATTGTTATATAGTTTTTCTAATTTTTAGATATATCCACGCAAGACTGGAATGTGTTCTTTCTCGTTATGAATATTTTACAACGGTGGATTTCTTATCCATATCACCTGATGTGAGAATGCGTCTTACTGATGCTCATCAGCAATACCTAAGTGTTGAATTTGGGTGTTCATATATTTAGTGGTTCTTTGAATTATTTTGTTTTTTAATTCGATGATGCAGAAATTTTATTTTTTTAATTTTACTGAGCTTGGGCTTACGGCTGGTCCGGCTTTTCTTATGATTTTCTAATTCATAAATATTTATATCAGTATATGTATCTAGATATAATCATTTAAATTTCACTTATTACTTCTATGTGCGAATTATTGCAGTCAACGTTGCTTCTAATGTTTTCCTTCTTTATTTCGTTTATTTATTGTTATATTAAATAATTTAACTATACTCATTCTTAACATACTCAATACATTTTTCTTTTTACATTTTTTATGAATTTTACAAGTCTTCAGGAGTTTGGTTATTTTGTAGAAATATTGATTTAAAAAATTTAGCTGTGCCTATCAAAAATAACAGCATGATGAATAATGTACGTTATGCCAATTTTTTAGAACATTTCATTTCGTTTGGAGAATTTTAAGATCTTGAACTAGACATATTCACTGTGGGGAAACGGGCATTATTAAGCAGCAAAGGGCAATTTTTTTTTTCTAAGTTGTATATTTCACTTCTTTACCATTTGTATAAAATAATTTTCATCTGTTTTACTTTTCATTATTTTTTTTAAGTAGATTTATATCTAACTTAATTTATATCCGTCATCCTAAATATATTTATCGCTTTATCACCTTTACCTCATAGATCTTATTGAGCTGACAATGAATTGTCGAGAGTTGTAAAAAAATATTTTGAGCATTTATTTTTTTAAATTTATTTTAAAAAATTTTTTTTATTTAGAATTTTATAGGAAAGGAAAACTGCGTGGCCGAGATAAAGTCATTGATTTTCTTAGATTTTTTTTATGATTTCCATTTTTTTAAGTCATTAAATAAAATTTGTCGAAAAAGTGTTGAGTGATTCTTTTTGTTTTATATTGTCTTATTTAAAAATTCTCGTACCGTTTTCTGTTATCTAAGCAAGTATAGCTAAAAACTATAAATTTAATTTAATGATTGGTATTATACCTTTTATATTTTTATAAATTCTCTGCGGTTAAAGAATTTAGAAAGAAATGATTTAAATATTTTTGTCGAATTGTTGCTTAGATATGATTGGTATAAATTTTTTTATAGAGCTAACAAGCTGAAGTGAAACAATGGATGAATGTTTGGCAGTGGTAATTTATCTTGTTATGCAGGATGAAGATCTAAGTATAATGCAAATTAAATCCTAAAAATTTATTTTGCAGGGGTTTTTAAATGAATTGAGAATGACTGAATATTCAAATGGTGAAAAATTTCGAGCAGAAATGGTCGATGCTGCTAGAAAATTTTTTAGTTCTCCAAGAATAAAAAATACGCCATTTGAAGAAAAAAAGCGATATCTGCTTGGTAGGGGAATCACCGAAGAAGAAATAAGTGAGGCAATGAAAATAGGATCGTGCGTATGTTTTTTTCTGCAAGTTAAAGATTTCAAAAAATTCGATTGTGCACTCAATTAAAAAATTAAAACGAACAATAGGCGGCAACAGTAGTAAACAGTAAACACAAGAAGAGGAAGGTTAGGGAAATGAAGAAAGCGATAGTCAGATGGTGTTGGACAACTGGCAGAGGCTGAAAAATGATCTGAATGCACGAATGTTATCTTTGATTGTGTAATTACCAGGTAAACGACAATTTTGTGATGGATGATATTCCTTTTAACGAATCATTGGCATCCAATAATCGGCTAATGCAGTTTGTGAACATCAGCATTCTCTTGGGAGGATTATCATATATGGGTTATCATTTCTTGCGCTCCTATTTGATACCAACTTTTTTCAAAATACGAGATGCAACAGAGGATCATTCTGATCGAATTCAGCAGTTACAAACAAAGGTAATATCTTGCTTAAATTTTTTGCACGTTTTTAATTTTTATTTAATTCGTTTTTTAATTCGTTGATTAATTCGTTTTGCTGTCGCCGAACTGTGAATGCAACTATGAATGTTTTGAGGTTGGTTTCCTTTCTTTTGTTGGATTCTTACCATGCATATCTTTTTGAATTGAGTTGATTTTGAATTATTATATTGATTTGAACTATTGACTTGATAATTCTAATCCGTTTTTATCTTCTGATTTTGATTTTTTGATTTACGACCTCAGTAGCTTTTGAATTCGGCGACAAGCGAATGCGTAATGCGCTGGCGGAATCCGGCCATAAGGAGTCTGTAAAAAAATGATAGGTATTACGAAGAATGCTATGAAAAAAATCCCTTGAATCATTTATCGCCCACGAATGCAAACAGAATGCAAGAATGCAAGAATGCAAGAAAACAGCTTTTAGACGAGAAAATTGAATAACAAGTATAAAGATGACTAGTCTAACATATAACATATATGTAAGCTGGAATATATTGACCAAAGACTAGAGAACTCCAGAACAACTCCAGAAATTCTGGGATGCATGTCATTAATATACCTCGAGAGGATGATAGCCGAAAGTACCAGATAACTTTGAATCGAGAGCTCCATATGGGGGAAATTATTCTTCTTCTAACTCTCATCATTACTGATTACGGTGACACGCCTACAAGGGTAAGACGATAAGGGTAAGCCCGACGCTATCGCTGATAGTAATAGAAGCAATTTCTTTTGTCTAAGCCCGTATATCGCTGGTTCACATGTACGTCCAAAATCTTTCCAGATTGTTTCAGTCCGGGTTTTGATTGACCCATCTCGCTTCTTTTGACACACCCATCACAGCGTTTAGCAGCTAACGAAATATCTGTCAACTCTTGTGTTGGGCGAAGAACGTGCCCTAAACCAGTAAAGACGGCGTTCTTTGGTGGTACTGTTAATGCAAATATTATTTCAACAAAAGTGGATCATGTGCGATTTTATCCACTCGGCGAACTCATAAATGTACTTTAGACATGAGTAGTCAAAGGCAGACAACTTCTTAAAAACGACACTTCGATATCCTCATACTCAAATTTGAGTGATCAAATTCGATTTAAAAAGACCTTTATGGTAAGCTTCCCTTTCTTTATTTTGCTGAGTAGACTTATAGCAGTAGAGACAACAGGATGCACTCTAACTAGGCTGGTTTTAGAAAGCGATGCGATGCGGTTCTGTTGACCAGATATAGATATTCACATAAAGAAGGAAGGAACATCGTTTTAAATATATGCAATTAAGTGTTTGATCGATTTTGCAGCCACTTTCGATTCAATTGATAAAGTGTTGCTTTGGAGGGTGGTAGAATGCGACGTGTTCTGGAGAAATCATTCGACTCAAAGGCATTTTACATTTCAAGGTATACATCAGCATAGGTTTGTAAGGAACTGGCAGTCTCTTTCGAAATAAATGCTGTCCATAAAGGTGTCCTTTCCTTTGCAGATATTATGCGATGGGTTGGCAATGATTAAGGCGGGGCGAATATGGAACATAATAGCGATTCGAATTGCAGCCAATCTTATCTACCATTCAGGGGATGGAAGGGGCAAGACTCTTTGGAAGCCCCTGTTTCCAGTCCTCTGGTACTCAAGAGATCACTCCAGAGTATGAGAGATTTTGAATGCGCTGATGATGTAATCTTTTTTGCTAACAGTTGTGAAGAAATGCAGTAATGCTAATCAGTGTGTCAATAACCGCAGCGAGAATCATGCTCAGGGTCAATGTAAGTAAAACGAGTCTTTTTATCTTAAAAGCTGGTAAAAGCTGGTATACTTGTTTTTATCAATTTATTGCCGTTTGAGGAATTGTCTGGTTTTCAATATCTTGGAACCATTCTAATGGCCAGGCAAAAAACGAAATTATAATGGTAACTAGAAATGCTTTCTTCCGTTTTATGAAACCTTTATGAATCTATGGTAAAATAACCATCAAAACGAAACTATCCACGTCTATACAGCTTCATTTCGCTCATTCTTGTTATATGTATGTGAGACATAGCCAAAGAGATTGGAAGATATTAGGAAGCTATCTATCATTGATAACTCATTGATACATTTTACAACCGAGCGGATAAAATCTCACTTGACTGCATTCACCTTCGCTCAAATACCACTCTACATTAACAATACCATCAGATCATCGCCTTTTCTGTTACTTACTTGCTGAACCTTGTGATGGATCGTCAAAAGCGAGATGAGCCAATCAAGGCCTTGGTTGATACAGTTAGAAAAGATTTTGGACGTACAGGTGGACCAGCGATATATGGGCTTAGACGATGGAAAAAGGAATGGTTTCTTTTATTGCCAGCGATGGCGTTGGACCGGAAAGCTTGGATATTATCCGTGCAGTCAGTGGAGCTAGCCTAACCAGCAATGGTGAGAGTTATTAGAGGAAGAAAAATCATATAGGCGCCCAACAAAAGACAAGGAATTCGAATTCAGTGCTTTTCTCTTTCGACGATATTTGCCGAATTTTTTAGTTTAATCCACTTTTATTTCATAGAAATGTTCGTTTTAAAGATAAAATTTTTTAATAGCTTCATTAATTCTGAATGTAGAATATTTTTAGATAAACAATTTGCAAGATTCAATGAAATTCTTAATGGATAGTGTTATGCAAACTTTACGGATTGTAACCGAACAACAGGAACAACTGTGCCGCAGCAAACAAATGTTTAGCTCTCAGAATGATCAGGTTTGGTTAATCTTTCATTCCTCAATTATTGGTGAAGAAATTATGGGATATGCTGGAATGAGATAGCATCTTACATCGGTGGTGAAGTATTAATACACCAGTGAAAGAATGAAATCAAAGATGAGGAGATAAATGAAAAAAAGGATAAGTGAAAAAGAGAAAAGAATATGGGAAATATCCTTTCGGTGTTGCTATTGTTTCAAGTAATTCTGTTAGAGTACCAAATTTTGTTTATTAAATTTAGTTTAGTTCAGGCCGAATAAATAGTATTCAAACGGGATGTGGCAATTATTAAGTCGTTTTTGTTGTACCGAAATCAAATTCCATTGGTTACGCGTGTTCCGTCATGGCAATGACCACTGAAAATGAATGGTGAATGGGCGTAGTTGTGGATTTTTGATATTATTTTAAATATTTTAAAGGAAAATTTTTTTTTCATTCATTTTCTTCATGAAGAGAAGTATTGACCAATTAATAACCAGTGTTCAAATGAAACGTTATAAATTTATATTTTAAGTTATATTTTATATAAAATTTTATATTTTATATTTTAAATGTTGTGAAAAAACACTGTATTGCTGCATTTCAAGTGCATGTCAAAAACTTCAGTACGAATTAAATAAAAAAACCGAAAGTAACTTCACGAACGATGGTTTTATGGGAAATAGTTTCCTGAAATTGGGCTTGGAAGAAAATTATTAACAAATTTGATTTTTTTAAAAAACTTGGAAATTTCGTGGTTTTGTTCAATATCAGAAGTATGAATTTGTTTCAAATATATTGAATAAATCATATAAGTATAAATATGTAAAAGTATGTAAAAATGTAGTAATTTATGTAGAAGAAAAGAGTTAATATTATAAAATAACTTCGTAAAGTTTGGAATAACTTTTCGTGGCGCTATTTGAGAAAAAATTTGTCTATGTTATTAACAGATTTTTTTTCGGAAAAATAGGATTATTTGCTATCATTATTCAATGTGCATTACTCTTACTTTACTACCTTCGCTTTTACTTTGTTATTTTTATTTTAATTTTTTTACTTTTAATTTACCTTTATTCATTGTTAATATCAAATTATAGGCTCATTGTTATTCATAGAATGTTTTATGTTCGAGTGAACGTGAAATGAATTTGGATTTAAATTAATACAATAACGCAAAATTAATTGATAAATAAATATAAGAAAGGTTATTTACTGAATAAGCATGAAGTTTGTAAGTCAAAGAGTAGTTATGAAATAAAAGTGGCATAGGAAATATTCCAAGGATAGCAAAAGAAGAGTAAAATTAATGATAATATTAATTGATATATGGAATAATAAATCGGTAAACTTGTTAAATTTACCAAAAAAAAAGGTGGCTAAAGGCAAATAAAAACATTCCGAATTGATCAACTGAATAGAATTAGGTGATCAAACGAGCAATTGCCTGCCGTTTGAACGAGTGAGATTATAGCTGTGGAAGCATGGAATGTGAGACCGCTTGTGTACGTTTCAAGCCATTCGGTCTTTGTCAACAATCTAAATATCGTGTTGACGTATCTTGATTGTGCAAATTCCATCTTCACTTCTGGACTCGACAGCTGCTAAACCCGGTTCTGAGCAAATGCACAGGCTATTAACTTGCGTCATTTTGGATAATTTAGGGCAAAATGACGATGTTCATATCTGATAAAGCTCGGCATAGCCGACGAAAGACCATTTTAGACCATTTGATTCGTGGTCAAACCATATTTTGCAGCTGCAAAACGGGAGTAGAACGAGAAATAATTTCTGTTGTCCAGAAGATCAAGACCAATATAACTCCCACATAAGATGATCTTCTGGCCGAAATCTTCAAATTCCGTCGTCCTTCATATCGAACCTTCACCGAATGTACTCTCTGATATGAAGAAAAGAATACCAGATAACTGGAGTGAAGCAGTTTTGCTCCAGTTCTTAAGAAAGTGACAGAGCATACTGTGGCAAGTTCCGAGGAGTCAACCTGCTAGACATCGAGAAAATTTTAGATTTATGCAGTGTGAGGTAACAAGATAAACTCTAACTAAGCTGGATTCAGACCGACGCATGGTTGTGCTGGCCAAATATTCACATATTGCAATATGGCTTCAAATATCTGCGACTCACAATTAACCCATCTCTCTTATTTCATCGATTTTGCTACAGCTTTTGATTTAAGAGATTATTCGACTCATAAAGGTATTATAAAGGTATCATAAAGGTATAAAAATATTTTGCTAGACATACATCAGCACAGGTATTTGTATGTGGGAAATTGATATACTCTTTCGAAATGAGAACTGATGTGGCAAGGCTGCATTCTATCCCCTACAGGCCTGTCGGCACTTAAGAGATGTGCAGTCTAGATCATCGTATTACAAATCTTGGATACGCTAATAATGTAGATTTTTTGCCTGATACTTATGAAATACAAATAATAAATACTTGTCAACAATTGCAGCAAGAATTGGACTCAAATCAATGTAAATAAAACGAAAATCTTTCCATCTTATATACAAAAAGCTGATAAAATACCTATTATCGATTTATCTGTTGAATAAGTGCCCGATTTTAAATATCTTAGATCCTCTAATATCGAATGACCAGGTAAAAGCATAAAGACAGTTAGAAATGCGTTTTTCAGGGCATTTTCGGGGTATTTAACCTTGACACCTTTACAGACCCGTCGCGAAATAAAAAAGAAAGTCCGCATAACTGAAATTTATATAATTGAAATTCGCTCGATCTTATAATGTGGCTGCAAGGGCATTGCCAATGAGAGTGGATATTAAGAAATTATCTAACCATTCACGGCTAAGATACATTTTGCGGATTCGCCGAGCGGATAAAATCTCATATCCATCCTCGCTCAAATACCACCTGCATTAACAATAGCATCACAGAGCGTTGCTTTCCCTGATATTCTCCATCGCCAACCAGAACAGTTGAAATATTTTGTTACTTGTGAATGGATAGTATCAAGCGATGTGAGCTAGTCAAGGCTTGGAATGATATAATCAAGGAAGATATAATTTTGAATCAGCAATATATGGACTTAGACGATGGAGAAAGAAATGGCTTCTATAACTGTCTGCGGTGGCATTGGATCGAATAGTTTGGAAGCATCTTACCTTGTAGCCTGTGGAGCCAGCTTAACAAGTAAAGATGAGAGGAGAAGAAAGTGATTTTATGAAGTGATGAAAGTGATTATTAAATTATCAACGAAAATGTGACAATAATTTTCTTTGCTTTTTATTTTCTTATTAATATGTTCATGGAATAGGTGTTATTGATTTTTTGATAATTTCTGATAATTTTGATAATAAATATTGATGATTTTTCAAATAACTAAATAAGTAAGTATTCAAATATAATGCGGCATGAATCTATGCTAAAGTGAATTCAACTTCGATGAATTTATCGCTAATTAGCTGCTCGCACACGATATTTCTACATCAATAATCCGATGTTCCTCCTATAATCACCTTCATAATACAAACATACAAGTATCCATTCGAGCGAATGGTCCAGGAAAAGACTTTTAACTCGTTTACAAAACAATTGGTTGTAAGACCAGTCGTCGTAATTTGAAGCGCAATATCGCATTGAGATGCGCCTAAATGGTGAATTTTTGCACTTTTTTTCGTTATTTTTCTTTTTATTTCTTTTTTTCTAATAGTTTATATTATTAAAAATTATATTTGTTAATAATTTATTTGGCAGAATGGGAAAACGAAGTGAACAAAAAAATATCTTTGACTTTTAAATTTATTCAAAATTTTGGACATCGTAAAAATTGCGGATTAGATCGACTCGCGAACGCTGATTTCCTTACTTTCCGTTAGTTTTTGAATAGCTTCGTTCAATTTCGCGCGGATATGTCGGGAATTTGGCGAATCGATGTATTTCGCTCGCGAATGTGTCGCCTTTTTCCGGTTTTTCTTAAGTATTTTTCTTTAATTTAATATGGTATTTTAAGTAAATTAATATCGTTTTAGCGCAATTAAATTTCGCTAGAAACACTGGAATGGAGAAATCAAACAGAAACTTAAGTTTACGAGAATTACGCGAATTGTCGAAACTGGTGTGCGATGGTTTCTTTAATGATACTCAGCAAGCAGTCGATGAACTCATAAAAATCTTTTATATGGTTTAATTTTCTTGATTATCCACTTCCGCCGAAATTTATATTATGGGATATTAGTTTATCCGAAAACTTTCCGCGGTTCTTGTTTTGTCTGCTGCTGGGCCACGGATTTAAGTTGTCGTAATAATTTTCTGACGTATTGCATATTATTCGATCGCCATGTCTTCATGTTTCTTGTATTAATGGAAAGAATACCTCGTTCTTTTCAAGTGATTTTGTCTGATTTTGTATGACATGAACCGATGTGATTTTCATATTCTGGTATTTTATGAAATCAAACTGTGGCATGGAATTCCAGAGACAACTTATAAGATCAGATAACTTTTGCTTCTTAAGACTGAATGGTTCGTAAAGTACATGACTGCATTCACCCTCGTTCGAATATCACCTACATTCAAATACAGAAATACAAGTCTCGAAAACGCCATAGGCCCAAATGAATCCCTGAAGGAACTGGTGGAAGCTTATCCCAGATGCAAATTCGGCGTAAGGGCTTCACCTTTCACCTGATACCATGTGGAATCACCTGCGTGCAATGAAGAAGAAGGAAAAGCTTAATAAACGGAAACGAACACTTCTGAAATAAACTTTCACTTGCGATGAAAAACGGATTCTGTGTTACAAAAAAAAAGTCAGTACAACTCTTTTCGGTCCATACCAAAATTCGATTTTCGCATGAAGAAGGCTGTGGTCATCTCCGTTTGTTGCAAGATTGATCTTCCAGAGTTCCTTAAAACTTGGTTGCAACAAATTAGCTAAAATGAAGGTACCAGCACAATTCGTAAGCGATTAAGAAATAGTGCACCGTGAACAATAAACACACAGTCAGCACTAGGTAACAAAAAAGATCCCACCATTATGCATGTTGGATCACATGTTGCAAGAACTTTGTGAAAATTTGCATATTATCTTTCATTATCCACCATATTCGCATGTTTTTCATCTTTCATGTATTCCACTATCTTGACAACTTCAGAAAGACATTTCGTTTGCTTTCGAAAACAGGAAGATCATGAGAGTGTCTTCCAGCAATCTTCGTTGGTTCCAGAAGCTCGGAATTTTATGTAATGGAATAAATGCATTCACTTTGCCAAAAGCATGCTCATTATAAATGGCAATCGATAATTGATAATTACTATTATATTTGTTGCATATATTTGCCCGAAAAATCAAGGCCACAGCCTAAGTGAACTAGCTTAAACCAATCTTTCAATGATTAATCCTTTCATTTTCCCCAAGACCCGTCCTTTTTTTAAGTCCATTAGTTCAATCATTTCAAAATTTTTATACCATTGTATATATAAGACCTGGTTAAGCTTTTATCCGCTCCCATTTTGCCTTCCTTAACACCGTGTCAAACTCTGCTGTGCTTTCGATTATTTTATAAATTTATTCTCAAGGAGTGATGGTGACTGAGTCTATTAGCTTTCAACATTGTTCAAGCATTACATTATACATGCGTAAATCAGATTCATAATTCTGCAGTAGAAACTTGATTTGGAGTGTGTGTTAATCGTGTTAATCCCGTGGAATCAATTGAGTATTACAAGGAGTATTTGTAATGGGAATGAGATCATTAAGGCGGTAAGTGTGAAAACATCGTGGTTGTATATTAAGAAATGCAAGGAAATACTGTGAGTCTTGAGACGTCAAAGAAGGCCGATCATATGCTGGGGACCATCTTGCCCATTCTTTCGACAGATCTTTTTATTAATTTATAGTGGTATTGTCAAAGTCATTTTCGAGTGAATAACACCAAACCAGATTTTGTTTGAGGTTTTAGCAAGAAATTGCGATTTCAAGTACACAATTAAGAAAGAATCATTAGCAGAATTTATCTTCCATCTGATCAGATTTGGATGGATTGATTTAGAAAACATAATCCAGAATTTTTTCCTATAAAAGATCACATTATGCGATAAACCAAATTTTATTTCAAGGCGGATGCAGACCAAAAAGTTTTGATAAATCATTTAAATTTCAACCTTACTGTTCACACGTGCAAAGCTCGTGAGGATGATCAATCGAATAGATTTTTAGTATTTATTGTAAAAAGTGCTATACGATTTATGATAAATAATATCACGGATGCAATTTATCGCACGCTCTATCAACATATTATAAAGGTTTGTTTTTTATTTAAGAGCAGAGTCAAGTTCAATCAAAGTTTGATAAATCATTTATCACTTATTAATTATTGAGTTTTTTTTTAAATTTTGCAGCCTAAAATCAAGTAATTTAGACGCAAACGACGATCTACGATGGTCCACGGTCCCGCTGCTGTCAACTTATCGGGCTTATATTTGAATGTCTAGAATATGAAAAATCTGATTTCGAACCAGATTTTAGCGAGGAAGAACTAATTCCTTATGCTGAAAGACAAAGAATGTTGGCGATTTTAATATCGCGAATGCTTGACAAGGAAATTTATATTTATATTCATGAGCACAAATTTATATTTACATTCATATTTTATTTATTATGCCAATCTTCATCATCTTTCATCTTTTAAATAGTTTTTTAAATTGGTATTTCTATTTCGATAGGGAAATGCATGTGGATTCTGGATTCTATTTGAGATTCTTTGTGAAATTACAGTAAACTATTAAATTTAACGCTTAAATTTTTAAGAATGAGAATATCCGGTTATCTGGTCTGCAATGTATGATTTAAGAAAATTTATTTATATTCTTATATCACAATATCTCTTTCATTTAGAATTTTTAAGAAACTTTTAAATAATTTCTTTAAAAGTTTAAAATCAATATTTTAGAGCCCTTATGTTCGCATGCAAGTCGTTCGGTCTCTTGCACTAGTTGTTGAAAGAAATTATCTACTCACTTATGGGCCAACGCTTCTTAAATCAAAAAAATGTTCCAAGATTTCGATTGTTTAAATTTTTATTTCTTTTTAGTTTTTTGCTTTAGATTCATCGACTTATCTTAGCTGATATCATAATTCTTATTTCTTATTTTGTGATTAATTGGCTTTATCGTTTTCATTTTGATTTTATTTAATTCCAGACTTAGTGGACCGTTTATACGATATTTCTCATGATGTAAAATTGGAAGCTGTTCGCGTCTTACCGTTTACATCAGTTTTTTACATTGAATCGTTCATTGAAGCAATTAATACCGAGCCAGACGTGCATGTACGTCGCCTTGCTTTCGCAAGAATTGCTCACTTTTCGAACGTACGATCTTTTTCGGTCAGTCAGCGTATGAAGATTTTAAATATCGGGACTAGAGATGATGACTGTAATTTTTTTTTTTTTCATGTTTTCTTTAGTGGCACTAACAACAGTTTCGATTGTTTAATGTAATCTTCGGAGAACAACATTTTTTCTTCATTTTTTTTAAACGAGCAGAATACTTTAATGGTATCACTAAAAAGATTGACCAAAATTCGGTATTTATTTTTGTTGAGAAATTTTGATTTATTATTATATGGCACAGCATAAGTGATTTTAAGATGTGGTTCAAAAATTTGTCGAGAGAACGATAGCTGGCTGGGTAGGAAAGCGTGTCGCTATGCCATCAGTTATTTTGATTAATATGGAATTTATTGAATATGAAGAAGCTTGCGCTAAGGTTGTTTTATCATTTTTATAGAAGCATTTGCTTTAAAATTTCATCTTTTATGATTTGGAGCTATACTGAATATAGATGTCAATATTTCTTTGGCAAGTGGAATGAGAATTTTTCTCTAGGCTTTAATGGTTTATTTGGGATATTGTCAGAAGAAACTGGGTTGTTGTAGTTTGGAGAAATTTGTTGTTTCATTTTGCAAAGCAGTACGCGACACCGAGGAAGAAACTGGCAAGATTGAACTCATTGATTCAACTAATTATCTTCAAGTCTTTGATGGGTTTTTATCTTTTATCCATTCTTCTGTTCTTTTTATATGTTGCATTTCTGCAAACTGAAAAGGATTTTCAGAAACTGGAAGATGAGATGCTGATTCTATGTTCTATGTTTTGTGGATTTCAGGTTAGTAAAGAATTCAGAAAAAATATTTAAATATGCAGAATCGGTTTATTTCTGGAAATGTTTTATTCAATACTGCTTTGAAAAAGCAAAATCTGAAGGAGATCGGTCTGAGGTTGTTTATAGATTAATGCCAAATATGACCGGATTTTGTCGGCTAATTTACAAGTAAGAATTTTTTTAGCGGCCTTGGTTTTAATGCAGCCTTTGTTCTATTCCATAAAGTTGTTATTTTAGGTTTTTAGTCGTATGGTCTCCGCATGTAACACGTGAGGAGGGTTTGGCAAGTGAATCTGTCATGTTTTGCTTATGCCATATTTCCCGTTTCTACGACCGAACTGATGTTGTTGGCAGGTACACCAAGTTTTTGGCTTATCATTTAGGCATACATGTTTGATATACGATTAATTAAAATGGCATGTATTTTTATTGCTTCTTGCAAAAGTTTTCTTAAGTTGTAATTTGTTGTACTTTTAGCTCCTGAATATTCATAGCGTTCATTTTAATCGAAAGCTTTATTTGCTTTACTCGTTTCAAGAAAGACAAATTGTCGTTTGCTCTTATTCATTTAGAAAAAATTGGAAGGAAATGTTGGAAATAATATTTTCAATGCGAGTTCTTCCAAATTCAGTCAAAATCATCGAATTTGCTATTAATGAATTGTTCAACGAATTCTATTCTAAAGATAAATTTCAAGTAAGTTTAAATAACTCCTCTTATGGTGTTTTTCATTTAGATATTATAGATGTAAATACATGTACAATAAGAGCCAAATATTTATTGCCTCATTCTCATTTTAAGCATCATAATTCGCCCTCAGAGCAAATAAGGATTTAAGGATTTAAATAATGTTCGATTCCTTAAAATTTGTGGTTGTGTCGCGAATTTTTCCTTGGAGGATATTTTCTTATCATAATAGTGCAGTGATCTGAGCATTTATCACAGAGACCTTTAATTCACGGAATCATTCCTTTCTTTCATTCCAGGCATCAATTGTTCATTTACTTAAGCATTATGAATTATTCTATTCTTCCTGTTTTTATTAAAATGGTAACTCATGTATTTCATTTCAACACAGCAGGCAATTTCAGGAATTTATTGACTGGTCATGTTACCGCATCAATAGTTTCATAACTGCAACTCCAAATGAAACTGAAGAGGAGCTAACGTCGCAGAATTTAATTCGTGAGAAAAGACGAAATATTCAGTCAAAGTTTCATAGAAACTTATCGCTTGAAACTGAAGAAATATCTAATTTTATAGAAAAAACAGATCCAGAATTTCTTCAGGTAACACGAGAAATATTTGAAAAGACTTTTGGAAGCCAAGTTTTCATTTGCTTTTTTTGAATATTTTGCGATTTTGAGATATCTTTATAGGAAATTCTTCTTGTGATAGAATAAACCAATGATTCTTTTTTTCAATTTCATAAGTTGATAAACCTGAATTCAATTTAACTTGAAGCTTGAAAACCGCAATGTTGAACGAGCGTTAATTGCATTGCGCTGTTTGCTGAAACATCCATGTATTTCAACTATTACAACATTATTAAGGAGTGCATTAGAGATCGCCGTATGTTTTTTTCATTCTTTTTTTTCCATTGTTTCTTTTTCATCTTGTCAATTTAATCATTTTTAGAGAAGCATTAATTAACAGAATTTAGATCGAAGAATTCTTAATGAAAATGGATCCGTGTATTTGGCCTCTTGTATGTGAAGTGATCGGTCTTGCTGCAGCTGTTGATAAGATGATTGCTCATGAACGCATGCATTTATTGCGTAGTGCCATTGAAGTTGATGGCTCACCAAGTGAAGTTAAGGCAAATTTTTTTCATACTATCTGAGTAAGAATCGTTTTTAAATAAAATTTCAACAAAAATTTAAGTGGGAAAAATTCTGATTGGAATTTATATATCGTTGTAATTTAAATGGTAATTGGTAATGGCAATAATTGTGCGTATTAATTAGTGGTACATAATATGTGTATCTTTGAGGCTTGTGCATTGTCGTCGATTTCGCTTATTGCTGTATCACATGGTTTCTCATATATAGCAAATTTTTTATACCCAGATATCACCCAAAAAAATGAGCCAAGAAGTACTCATCTACAAAAAGTATTTGAAGAGTATTTGAGCCTTGAGGTACTTTGATTTTTTCGTTCCATAATTAATAATTACATAAGTTTTTTAGTCTCACTCTTTGGTCTTTCCGCTTATATTATAAATGCTATTGTATATCATTGAATAATGAGCTTAATATCAAAATGAGTGGCTTCATTGGTACACTTAAATTTTTTTTCTGTGCTTAATATTGTGAATGGAATTTTTCTTCTTTTCTTCTATAATTCTTGTTCCTTAAAGAGAATTGTGAAATAGTTTTTTTTTCTGCATTTCCTTTTTATCGCTTTATTCATTAAATAGCACAAATAAATGAAACTTTTTTTTATGAGTACAGTTTTTATAAATAAATTCAGCTTAATGACGAAGAGAAATAAGCTGAAATGGAATGTGGTCAAAAGACTATCTAAATTCTAAATTTTTTGAATGTTTTTTATGTTTAAAAGTCATTGTTTAGGACGATTATCTATGTTGTGCTGCTGTCGAAAGCTGTTCGCGAATTCTTTTTCTTGGAAATTACATTTTTCCTGGAATGCTTGCCAAATGTCTTCTGTTGCATTCCCATCCCAAATGTCCACCAAACACTTTTCGTTTACTCGATTACTTTTTATCAATTTACTCGTCAGCCAAAAGGAACTTTGTCTTTATTTTTTTTCATTATTTACCATCTATTTTTATATGTGACACTAGTAGAAATCAGATTAAAACATGGAGTTTAAGGCGTGAAATTTCGTGCTACTAGAATTGATTTGAGACTGATATAACCTTTCAATTATTTGTTTTTATGTGGTATACTTTTATCTTTGCTTGACGTGAAAATTTATTTCTTTTTAAGGTCGAACCAAGATAAATTGGCTGGAGCTATGTCGACCGCCGTGCGACTTGCGGAAGAAGGCACGTTTAAGAAGTTCAATAGAACTGATATCTATCGAATGTTAACATATATCGTTAATGCAACGAAAATATCGAATTTAGTGGCAACGAATGAAGTTGAACTTAATGAATATGATTTTATTCCATGGGTAATGTTTCATTAAAGTTGACAAGATATTTATATTGCTACGGGATATTTGCTAATAAGTCAGAATCGAGGTAAATCTGACTTATAAATATGACTTATAATATCAGCGTAATCAGCCAAACCAGAAGTGGTAAATGCTTAGAAGAAGAGCTCTTATAACAGCAAATTTATTTAGGATGTAGAATAATCGAGTGTTAGGTCGATGTCAATTATCATAGGTTCTATCTTCTCCTTAAAGATTGCCAAAACTAATGAAAAATGATGCTATACTTTTTCCTCTCCTATCTCGACTTCTAAAAGAGTTCCACAACAGTAGTCCTGGGTCAAAAATAGGGAATGTTGTTCAGATTTAATTTTATTTATTTATTTTATTTATTTTATTTATTACATAATTTATAATTTATTTGATTTACTCATTTTTAGACGAGACCGGTCCAATTTTTCGTTATACATAACTTACTTCTTATTATTGAAAGAACTTCTGCGTTCACGGATGGTGTCGTTAAGGCTCTTCAGTTTACTTCGCTCGAAGAAATTGACCAAATTGAAGACCTTTCGAATATTCAAGAAAAAGTAGACAGTGCTATCAAAGTATTCCTATGAAATTTTAAAATATCATACGTACTAATCCAGAGTTGTAATGGTAATTTGGGTTATTTCATTTCCTCATTTTTTTGCAGTGGAAATTTTATTATGTGAAAATTTCAATTTCATTTTATGTACAAATGTAATCAATCGGGATAACGCGTAAATATCTCCAAGAAAAAAATAATTGTTTGCATTTTAAAATTTTGTCAAAGTTAGATTTTCTAATTTATTTTGTATTTGTGGTATAATATACTGTTTAGATACTTCATGGACGTAAACTCTATAACTTGGCAATCGGTCTGATCGATTTTAAGAATCGTGTTAGTGAACTGATCAATGTGCATTCAAGGCAAACTGATTCTGGGAATGTCAGGAATTCATTTGACATTATTAAAATCATCTGCTTATAATTTCTTATATAGAGTTTATTTTCGAGAACTCAGTTGCATTGTGTGTGAATGAAACTCATTTACAGAACTCGATAAAGCGAACATTGTCTGGTAACTCGAATAGAAATATTAATCGTGATGAAGGTATCTTTGTTCCACATTTGTGGACTTATTTTTTATTTTAAGAAATTAAGCCACACTTAACAGATAGGCACACTTTATAGATACAATTAAGCCACACTTTACAGATACCATCAGAGAAAGAGATGATTCACAACGTCAAGATGGTCGGAATCATCAATGGGTATTTTTATTTTAATATTTACAAAAATAAATTTATGTTTAATTAATATAACAAATTATGAATATATATCATTTATAACGACCTCAGTGATAGAAACCGAGAAAAAAAATTTTTTTCTTTTTTTCGAATTCAAAGATTGTCTAAACTTATATTCGAACTTAACTTCTCTACGAATTTTGATCAAAATTTCTATCTGTTGTTTTATCTAAAGCCTCTTTTCTTCCTATTGAAAGCTTTTATACAGAGATTGATAATTGAATTTTATTATAAATAAAATTCAGGATATTAAAGTGAAAAAGGTGGATCTTGACAAAGAAAAGCTAAAATATTCGCAGACGTTTGAATTTCCGATTTAGTTTTTTTTTCTTATTTTTCCATTACTCGTCATCAGCGTATTTTTTTTAGTTATTCACTTGTTAATTTTAGCATATTTTCGCGCATTTTCTGTATATAATGAGCATGTGACGTTTATTTTTAACCTGTTTAAATATCGATATCGGTTTTATTTGATTGGAACGATAATCAGAAATTTTTTGTTCTGTTCCTTTAATAATTTCCTTTTTGTTGTTGTTTTCTTCTCTTTTACCGTTTGTTAGGCAGTTTTTCTTCTTTTTTATTGCTTATTGCTTTTAAACCAGATTTATATCATATCTTTAATCATCATTATCTCATAGATCTCGATGGGATCTGTAAGTGATTTTCCAGTAAAAAAGTAGAAAATACTTTGGCTTGCGCAAAACGTCTTTACTGATCTTTTTAAAATACTCCATTCGTTCATTCTGAATTATAAAAGGAAAACGATAATGCACAACCAAAGTAGATGATTAAATATTTTTAAAGTTATGATTTCCGTCCAATTTTTTAAAACCGTTATTAAATAAAGTTTCTTTTGAAAGAAATTTTTAATTTTTAAACATTTATTTTAGGCGAATACAAATTACATTATGAACAGATAAAAAAATTAAACAAGAAATTACTGTGATTATTATATTGTAATATTCATACATCTTTCGTACAAAATGATTGAAATTAATAAAATGCAAGGAATTGGTGCTGTAGAAGCTTTATTTTTTCCTAATTGTATTTTTTTGTGAACATTAATCAGCTGTTATGTGTGTATATTTACAACTAAAATTCTTTACCCTAAATTATTATATGGTTTAATTTGTCGGGATTAAATTTTTGGAGTTCGAATCGGCAAATTTTAAAGAATCCCTCTATTCTATGATTGATCTGGTGAATCTCTCTGGAACCATTATTTTGACAGTTTTAACAGGCGATCATTACAACCACTGTCGACTAATTTTATTACCGATCAATTTTCGTTCCACAATTTTTTTTACATAAATTCATAAATTTCTTTCATAAATTTCTGAAACTTTTGTCTTTCTTGGTTTATTTCCGTATGGTTTGTTCTGACATGCAGTTTTCTTCACTTTTTTCCTTTTTGACGATCGCTTTTAATGATCATCCTTAGCAGTTTCTTTAAGTTTTTCTTTCTCTCCATTCCTTCCTTAATTCTTTTTGTATGAGATTTAGGATTCCAAAGCGATTTCTGATTTTCTCATGGAATGGTGGGTATATGAATCGAAACTTCATTTTAGTTGCTTGAAGAATGTTGCCTTTGAAAAAATTATTAGAATAGCAGAAATTGATAAGTCGGTCTTCTGCACCGTTTTTCCTCGGCCATTACTTTATTTGTTGAGCTTTTCTAAGTTCATGTATCTTATATTCCACGTACTGCAATTCTATTTCGAAATACAGTTCTTCGATTGAATACTGTTATCCTGCATTATGTCGCTTATCTGTTATTTTATTTTTTTCTATTTTTCTTAATAACAATACAGGAATGGCTTACCATCATTGCCTTATCCCAATTCAACGGAGTAACATTTTTAATTTTCTTTGAAACTTTTTCTTTTCTATTTGTACTTCACAAACCATTTGGCGTAAGAGCCTCAGCTTTTAGCATGCATTTTTTATTAAGCATAATCACTTTTAACTTTTGATTAAAAGTCTTCCTTTAGCTTGAAACTTAGGAGAATATTTTTGGAGTAATTTTGTTGATTTTTTAAATTAATTTAATTTCAAATAAATAAATATTAAAGTGCAGAGAAACAAATATAATAATGGTAAAAGTATGCTTGTATGTATGATATATGCTTCGATCGTCCTTAACAGAGCCTGCAATCAAAAATTAGCAGGTTAGTCAAATAAAAATTGAGAAATAAAAATTAAAAAAATCAAAACAATCAAAAAGATTAAATACAAAAATTCTTGATAATTACCTTTGCTAATAAATAAATATTTATTTGAAATTTTATTAAATTTCGTACCTCATATAAGAAAAAAGCTTGAACTTGACTGATTTTTTTTTTACATTGTTTATAAGCTCACGCTAGATTTTAATTTTCTATTATTGCCCACAACGAGATAATAAGACATAAATTTTAAATATTCTCAAATTAAACCGAAAAGTATTCGCATAATAATTGTTTAAAGTCAAGAAAAAGTTATAAAAACAATAATTCTTTTTCTTCAACGCAAAAGTCCTCAATATTTCCTTCAATGTAAAAATCCTACGCATTCCTTCCTACTCGATTTCTTTTCATTTTCATTCTCTTATCTCCTATCTATTCCAGCAGTTCACTCCACAGGTGCAATCTTGGAGTTATGGATAGCGCTGATATTTCTCGCATTTCCTATAGCAAACTTTAAATTAGATATCTGCAAAGTGCAACAAAAGGAGATATATTTATTTGTCGTCTCATATCTTTATTTAATATTTATGCATGGTTAAATGCTTGTGGATTGCAAAATAAACCAAGAGAAATTATATGCAAATTATATTCATCGGTAGAAAGATGCAGAAGTAGTCATAATTTTATGATTTTATATATTTAACGCAAAACAACGGATAAAAGCAGCTGATAGTTTTGATGAATGCCTGAATTGGCCATAATACGGTCAATAGTGAACATTAATATGAACCAAATAGAAACAACTTGAGTGATCCAGAATATAACGAAGTAAATACCCCAAAACCTCTCTTACACAATTTATCAATCTATTAATAATGGGAATCATATGGGAAGGTGTCCAAATTTTGGACTATAACTTTTCTGCACTTCTAATAATGCAATGTGTCGAAAAATCCATGATGAATTTAATAAATCTTGAATGTATGAAATATTAGAAAACGATTTTATGCAAACATTCTTAAAAATTTCTGTTAAAATATTATTGAATGCTTTATTTTATCCACTTTTTTCAAATTTTTGCTTCTTTTCAAAATTTAACAAGGTTTTCTTCTTCTTCTAACAGCCCGTTACTGGTTAAGCTGGTTCCAACGGCTACAAGGAAAAGATGCTTCCAAACAGCGCGGTTTGACGCCATCGTCCACAGTAATAGAAGCCATTCGTTTTTCCATCATCTAAGTCCATATATTGCTGGTCCACCTATACGTTCAAAACCTTTCCTGAGTGTATCAGTCCAAGTCTTGATTGGCCCACCTCGATTTTGACGCCATCCATCACACGCTTTAGCAAGCAAAGAAATATGCGACAACTCTTGTGGTGGACGATGGAGAATATGCCGTAACCACCAAAGGCGACGCTCTGTGATAACATTATTAATACAGGTGGTTGTTGAGCTACGATGGATGCAATCATGTGCGATTTTATCCGCTCAACGGATCCGTAAAATATATCTTAGGCATGAGTGGTCAAAGGCTTATAGCTTCTTAATATCTTCCACTCTCATTGGTCATGTTTCGCAGCAAGATATAGCAAGATCGAGTGAATTGCAGCTATAATGACGCGGATTTTCGTCATTATGATGATTTCGCGACGATTCCATAAAGGTTTTACCAACCGAAAAAATATTTCTAGCTTTTGGGTTACAATTTTATCCTTTGCCCGGCCATTTGGGATTAGAGTGGATCCATGGTTATAGATTGCTAAAAATAGTCATTTAATCAACATCTTGTATATAAGACGAAAACATTTTATTGACAGTGATTTTGAGTCCAATTCTCGCTACAGCTGTTGACACATTGTTTAACATTATTTGCATTTCCTTTCCTGTCAGCAAAAAGGACTACATCATCAATGTATTCAAGGTCTGTAATATTATGCTCTGCACTGATTTTCACACCTCTTGAGTGGCGACAAGCGGTGCCCATTATCCAGTCCATCACACAATTGAGTAATGTAGGAGAAAGGACGCAGCCCTGAAGGACATTAGTTCCTATTTCGAAAGAATCTGTCAATTCCCAATATACACAGATCTGCGCTAGGATATGTTGATAAAATGTCTTTATGAACCGAATGATCATCTCTAGGACACGGTCACATTCCATCATTTTCCAAAGAGCTGCTCTATCAGTCGAATCGAAGCTGCAAAATCGATTAAGCAAGTGACGGTGGATTGCTGGTATTTGAAGCGATGTTCAAGCACCAGTCTTAACGTAATTATCTGGTCAGCACAAACGCCTGAATCCCGGTCTGAATCCAGCTTGGTTAGGACGCATCCTGTTATCTCGTGTTCCTATGAGTCTATTTAGCAGAAGGGAAGCGAAAATTTTTCTGGAGATGTCCAGTAGGCTGATTCTTCGATAATTGTCGCAGTATGTCCTATCACTTTTTTTGAGAATTGGGAGCATAATTACTTTACTCAAATCATCTGGTAATATTTCTTTTTCCCATACCAGGGAGTACATTTGTTGAAGGTGTGTTATGAAAGACGATGAACAATATTTAAAGCATTCAGCACGAAGACCATCTTCTCACGGAGCCTTATTGGCCTTAAGCTTATTGATAACAGATATTATTTCTTCTTCTGTCGGGGTCTCGCAGTTGCAAGCATATGGTTCAGCGAACATATCAGTTAAATCAAGGGCAACAGATGGCGCTTCATTGTTAAGTTTAGCCTCAAAGAATTTTTTCCATCTTATGAGGCGGTCCTTAATACTCTTGGCTGGCACGCCATTGTTGTCCCTTACCATTTCACTAGTCGTTTTTCCCCGAATTATAGTAGCTTTATTAAGAAGGCGAAATAGTTCCCTATTATCGCCTAATCGAGCCGCCGCCTCCGTTCTTGAGGCTATATCACTCCTATAGTGATTTCTGTGCCGCCGTGCTGCTGTCGTTGTAATTCTTCGAAGAACCCGAGAATCAGGTCTCCTGATATTCATGTTTTGGCAATGTTTTCAGACATCTTGGCTGTTGCTTCCGACACCCAACTAGCATCTCCCATTAGTATGACCTAGCGTGGAAGTGGCTGAATTTCATTCCTTTATTTTCGATCAGTATTCATTTGCGTTCCAGAAAAATCATAGGTATTTATATCACTGAGA